TAACGTTGGATTTTTTGGTTTTGGAGTTGTAAAAATGGATTGAATAGGTGAAATGCTTCGTTGTGCTTCTGTTGTTCTACTGAAGCTTCTAGGTTTTCTTCATTTCGATTCATTTTTGTGTTGTATCACTGTTAGCGTGTAATTTTCAATGTGTCTTATCGGTTGATTCCAATTGTTGAGACGTATTAATTTGTTTGTGTAACAATTCTTTATTCTACATTTTCCTTTTATACATGCTGGTGACGTGGTTTCTGAGTCATAAAAGTATATTTGATGGTCAATTTGATGGTTTCCATTTTTTGGGTCTTTTAAATTGCAGAGTTCTTGTATTGCGCTTGTTTCTGATTCCGAGACTGCGTTTCTTTGTTTTGAAAACCGTTTTCTAATAATAGTTTTTGTTTGTTTATAATTTTCTTTCTTAGTGTTTGTCTTTTTGTTCTTACGTATCCTATTGTTTGTCTGTGGGGTGTGATTACGAGGTCGTATCTTTCGTCGTTAATTAAGCAGTTATGTTGTATAATTGTTTGTTTGTTTCCTAAACTGTCTCTTGACATAAGGTTCAGGATGATGGATGCAATTTTGGGGTTAGTGATTTCTAATGTCTTAAGCTGTTAGTTCATACGAGTTTTTGTGGTTGACTTAACTTAGGGCGTATTTGTCGGGTTGGAGAGAAAAGCATATATCGATTCGTGAGAATAATTTTTTACGTTCTCTTGAATAATTCTAAGTTAAAGTAGACTTACCAAATTTTATTTAGGGGTTGTGATTTGTGATCAAGGGTTGGAGATTAGTAATTTGATCTACAAGGTTCAGGTATAATTAGAACGCAAGTAGTTCGTTAGATACTATTTTATGATTTACTAAGCTTAAGTGTTTTAACCTGGGTCATTTAAGAGGGAGGGGGTCAAGTGAAAGATGAGTAACCCAAGTTCTTCACTGTTTATCCTAATTAGAATGGTTAGCTATTTGAAAAACTTCTGTTAATTCTGGGTCTTTAAAAAAGGTTGGGGAGTGAATCGACGTTTGAGGTCGTTAGACACTAATTGGTATGGGAGGGAGAGAACCAAATTGTTCTATTTGATCCAAGGATAAGCCTTGATGAGCAGAATTTTAGATTTAGTTTAATTTAATTTAAAGATCCAAGGGAAGCCTTGATGATTTGTTATTTTAATTGAAATTAATTTAAGTGAAAACAAGGATAAGCCTTGATAGTTTATCGATAAGAGGTTAAGTTTAAAAGGTTAAGTTTTTAGTTTTGATGATTGTTAGTTTTTGAGATTTGCTGTTATGTTTTAGATAATGAAGCTGGGATGAAGGGATGATTTATATTTCTAACAATTTACGCTTGCTTTATACTAACTAATTTTTGTGTTTTGATATTCTTAAAAAAAAATTTTCAAGATGTTTTTTAATTTACGGATGTGTATGATGTTTTTTTCAAGATGTTTATGAGTTAAGGAGAAGGACTAGTGTTGTTTTTATGGGTTGTTATTGTATAATTATTAGGTTTAAAGCCATGAAAGATTATTAAAGATGATTCTTCAAAATTTTATGTTCGTAAATGAAAATTTAAATGTACTGCTGGAAGTATTCTAAATATAAAAGTTTGATCTGGTTTTTGTCGTACAATCATGAAACTGATTGGTAGAATTCTTCCTAGTCGTATGTCGTCTCTTGTTCGAGGTCTTCTTCCAATATCGGGTAGTTCTCATATTGTTCGGAATATTGGATCTGATCTATTGAGTCGTTGAGACATTTCTACTAATTTTTTGTCATATAACATTTTAAAAATGTTTTATTTTTCTAATTATAATCTATTTTTTCTAAAACTAGGTTAGTTAAGGTCTGTTCGAGCTTTTTGGTCGCACCAGATGAGTTATATCTTTTTGGTTATACTCATAGAGTAATTTCAGATAAGGTACACCGTCTGCTCGTCACGCTATCTTATTTTCGGCCGGATAGATTCGTGCAACTTCTTAGTCTAATACCACTCTTAACATACTCCTATATCTCCTAGTCTCAATAGATCTAATGTACACCGGTTTATGCTAGTTAGTTCCAGAATGAGAACTACTGTATTCTAAGCTTAAACCAAATTGTTCTGGTGTTGAAATTACAAGTAGTTTCAACACTTACAAATAAGTGGGTTGTTAGTTTGATGGAGTTTGATTGGTTAGTATTCAATATTTTATAGAGATAAAAAATGAGAACAATATCCAATAATAAATTCTAGTTTAGATCTGGTTCCACCTTTTAAAATGGAGTGGAACTTTGTATTCAAGCGTGTTCTGGAATCACGTACCAATTACTCATCGGAATGCGCCGTGTGCTGAATCAATTTAAAGCCCTTTTAGTTTTAATTCGAAGGAGATTGAACGTTTGTCAAAAAATTGTCCCAGTATTGAGAAAAATTGGTTAGAAAATTTTGAGATTTAGTCTAAAATAGAGCGAGTAACGCTCGGTAGATGGAATTTCACTGTTTTTTAAGACTTAGAGAATAAAAAATTTGATTTTAGAAAACGGAAACTAGTTTTGGAAGTTTCATTTAATGATTGTTTGACAAAAATGTTTTTAAAATAAAACTTAAAATTTTGCACATAAAGTTGAAAATATATTTTTTTCATTCTTCTGTTTTTTATTCTTTTGTTGGTAACAAATGTTGCGAATCATGCCTACTTTACAAAACTGCCTGGCGATCGTATAGTTCTCCTCGAATCACACCACCCACTAAAAGGACGCTTTTTTGAGAAAAATGCATTTTTTTAATGAATTTGGACGGTACATTCTGTGCTACTTGCACAACAACCGGTTATCCTTGTTGTTCCGACTTTCGATACAAAAGTAACGGAATGTTTGTGCTCGGGGTGGGTTTTTTTTTTCTTCAGACAAATTTCGACTTTTTAACTAGCCATTTTTGCGGGAATTTTTTATATCATTCAAAAGGTATTGTTGTCCTGAGCTTAAATTTGAAAAGATATTTCACCTGTGATCATTTTTCGTAGAGTTATGAGGGTTTAAAGGTTGCCATTTTGACCAATTTGGGACAATTAACGCGCGCTATGTTTCGAGCTAATAACGCGTAAGCGGAGATTTAATCGTCTTAAAAATTGTTCCAAATTGGTTGAAAGAAGCTTAGTTGCCATAATTGGTTTGTTTCGTGGAACGAAATCTATCCTTTTGTACTTTATATGGCGTGTGGGGGGATGATTTTCATTTAAAAAAATTCAAATTAAAAAACAATTCATTTTATTTTATTCCATTAAATTTTTTAATGTTATTACTGCTCCATAAACCTTAAAAGGCAGTCGGAACATTCAGGGCTTCGCCCTGATACGAGCAGTCTTGTTGACTTAAGATCTCATTATATTTCAATTTACTTATTCGCCAACTTACCGTTCTGCGTTAAAACAGCCTGATTTATGTTAGCAAGAATGAAGAAAAAGATAAAGATAAAGAATGAAGCTAAAGAAAAAAAATTCTAAGGATTGCGATTCTAAAAACTTATACAATTTTTGTTCTGTTGGATAACGTATAAAAACGTAAGAAAAAACTCACGACAAATGCCAACTTGCACCATACTTATCGCAGCAGTCGCGCCAACTTGTCACGAGCTTTCCAGATGGTAGAAATTTATAAAAACTGTCAAGTTTGCGACCTCAAACCTCCGGCAACTTCAAATCTAAATTTCTAAGATTCAAGTTTCTAAGTTTCACAACATGAAGTTTTGAGAGTTGTCTTTTTATATGAGTTTTCGTTTATAGTAGGTTGTCACGGTACCGCAATAAAAAGAGCATACCAAACCCTCAACTAATATAAGAAAACTTTTTGCGCGTTATTTATCAAAACTTCCAGCAAGTTTCAGTTATCCATAATTTCACAATAGCTTAAGATTTGACTGTGAACAAATCTGATTTTACTGCAAAGTTTGAGTACGGGCAAGATACACTAATTTTTAAAGAGAGCGCGTGCTGAGCATAAAAATTTGTCGAAATAGAGTTTATCTGGTGTTTTATGAGAGCTTCGAAATTCAATTTGGTCAAAAAAATTAGTGAGCAAAAAAATAGTCAGTAAAAGTGGTTCATCAAGAAAATGGTCATCAAATAGTCATCAAAAAGTTTTCATCAAAATAGTCATCAACAAATGGTCATCAAAATGGTCCTTCAAAAAACTATCATTAATTTTGCTTGCGTAACACATGTTATTAAATTGTTAAATCCTTTCATTTCCACTCTGTGCATTGGTTGTGCCCTCTGCTCGTTGGGTTTTATGCTACTGGTTATCAAAAATTGCTCTAATTATTTGACCTATAGTAATTATTTGAGTTGAAGAAATGTCATATTGACATTGACTAAGATTTGATTAGAAACACAACATACTCAATAGCTGCCGAAACTAATTATTCAGCTCCAATAAAATCATAAAGTTATTTACTAATTCTGAAGTTCATTCTTAAAGAACATTGTTTTCAAAACTTAATACAATGCGAGCAACTGTAATTTTACAACCTAAAATTCCTGCAATTCTATTTTTAAGTTGTGATGACAGTTTTATTCTTTGGGTTGCTACAAAATGTGACATTGAGCCCAGGTTAGAATTCCTCGTTTCCTAATTATGGTGCATAACAGGCCACGATTATGTTTTATCTCCCAATTGCTGTCCAGGGGTGCTCACGTGGATTCGAAACGTACACATGGGTTGAAAAAAAAGATGTCCATAACACATTCATAAAACTGGAAAAATGCTATTGATACAATTCCATCTACTTCAAAAATGTATTCAACTGCTTGATAGGTACTTTTGCGAAGATTTCATAAAATGGAAATTTATGACAAGCATATAGCTTCCATAGACTCCAAGTATAGATTTGTTTGATAAGTCTTTTCCCCACAGAATCCATAAAATTTTGCTTAAATTGCCTGTCAATCAAACTAAGTCACAAATGAATTTAACCAATAATTTAGAGCACAAGTTCGTAACAAGTGCAACCGATTGGCCAACCAAATGCTTGGATTATATTGGTCAAGCCAACATCCAATCACAATGCAGACTGATGACGTCACAATTGCTACTCAAAATGTGGACGATATCGTCTTGATGATGATTGACAGTGAGCACACGCCGGATTTCGTCCTCAAAGGAGTTTTGCATTTGAAGAGCTTGGTGACATTTTTGATTGGACCCACCTTGAGTTTTGGAACTATAGTTCTGCCGGACTGGGATTCAATTAATTCCAAGTCAATGTTGATATCGTCCAGTAGGAAGGATGAAGTTTCAGTTCCTAGCATGTGTAAGTAAGTGGAAACGACAATGTTTTTTTTTTCAAAAAAAATTGTGCGCGAATCCCGCTCTAAATGTTAACTTTATGATAAACAACCATTAAAAAGATTTCAAATACCTGAAATAAGAATAGAACAGGCTGAAAAGTCTAGTTTTTCAAACCCCATCCCAAGGGTACAAGGGATTTTCGATTGAAGTCTTAATTAAAGACACTATTTCACATCTGTTTTAGGAGAAACCAAAAAAAAATTGCAGATATAACTTCAAGCAAACTCGCAAAGTAAAAACTGCAATTGATGGTTGAACACGAGAAGTCGGTGGCCATGCGACCGCCCCCTTCCCTCAATTCTAATTGCCAAATTTTTCCAAAGGGTCCCCCCTTTGGCCCTTTGGTATAATTTTACGAGATCCATTTTTCGCTGACCAGCATCAAATAATTTCTATAGGCGCCTTTAGCGCCAATATAACTATATTTGAGGGAGGAGCACGCGCTGAAAAAACGCAATTTTTAGTCAAATCTTTTTTAAAAATGCTTAAAGCTTCATCTTTAGCCTGTTTTTCAGGGAGACAAAATAGTGTCCTTTTAGTATTTCTGGAGAGCTCGGAAACTCAAATTGGTCGACCTTAAAAAAAATTGGTTGACTTCAAATAGTCAGCAAAAATTAGCCCAAAGTTATTGCAAAAACTGTAAAATTGCATCTTCAGTTAACTTTATTGAATCACCAAGCAAAGAGTCAGTCTGAATAGCAAAAATCGGACGCCTCCCATCCGTCAGTTCACCCAAAGTGTTCTTCTTTGGCTTTTTTATACGACATCCATTTTCGGCCGACCAACTCTAAAACGCTTCTGCAGGCGCCTTTGTGTCAATTTACACATATTTTGAAGGGAAGTGCGCTTCCAATAGCTGTTCAAAAACTACTAAAAAATTAAGACAAACTTTTTGAAAACCCCCTCAAGAAAATCTGAGATTCGCCTTTGTCATCTGTCACATAACTTTGGAAATAGGGCTTTTTTCCCAGTTCTTCAAAATAAGAGAGATTAACTGTGAGTGTTCTTTTTTATCAGTGAACGGAATGCTGTTTGCTCAAGAATTCTTGCAAGCAACAGAGCTTGCCTCCAAGCTCGGAATATACGAGCGATCGCCTGCACCGCAGAAAGAAAGTGTGAAACTGCAATCGTTTCTTTCCACTGCTTGTTCGAATGTTACGATGCAAGCTCAACAAGCCACATTTGCGATTCTGTTTTCAAATCACAAAATGAGCCAAATTTTCACCGAAAGTTCCGACCAGCAGTTGTTGAACTGTGACACAATGCAGCTGCTTTTGTCTGTGTTACACGTATTGTATCCAGTAGACGATTTTGAGCAGTTTGTGTTGCCAAGTAAAAACTGCAACAAAAAAATGCCAGCAGAAACCAGGAAAGAATCGAGGTGAGAAATCCAGGACCCCATCTTTTGCCTTTTACAATATTAAGGGAGCAAATGAGGGGAGAAATGTGGGGGTGGGGGGGGGGGGGTTGAGTTCTTTTGGATAACTTTTGGCAATTTGTTTCTTATGGCACTAGGGATTCTCCCGATCAATTGAGGTAGCTTGAGCTTCCGCCTAGTTTGAGAGCGAAACTACATTTCCTAGCCAGGAAAGAAATTCAACCAGTTGAAAAGCTCGTATGCTGAATAATTGTCCCGAATAAAATGACGTAATAATTGTGTATTGGGGGTTTTTTTTCTACGGACAAATTTTGACCTTTTAACTAAAAACTTTCGACCAAATTTTTTCATATCATCCAAAAATTATGTTTGTCTTGAACTCAGTAATAGTTTAAAATTAAAAAAAAATATGTCACTTGTGAAAATTTTTGTAGAGTTAAGGGGGTAATACGGTTGCCAATTTGCCCCATAATTAACGCGCGATCCAATGAATTGCAGAGAGCTTAAAAGGCAGTCGGAAAAATCAGGGCTTCGCGCTGATCAGGGGCGGATTGAGGGGGGGGGGGGTTTGCGGGGGTGGGGCGGACGCCCCCTCTCAGTGATTCGACCCCCTGCCGACCCAAAGGGTCCCCCTTTGATACTTTTTCAGAAATCCATTTTTGGCCGACCGACCCTTCGGCGCCAATATATACTAACTTTGAGGGGGAGCGCGCGCCAAAAAAAACGCGATTTTTTTTATCCCAATTTTTTTCCAAAAGTGCTCAAAAACGGCTTTTTTGACTGTTTTTTCAAAAATTTGCCTGCGGCGCAGAAAATTTAGCCAAAATAGGGGCAAAAGAGTACTTGGGAGAGCTCGAAAAATCAATTTGGTCGACCTCAAAAAAAAGGTCATAATTTTCGAATTTTTTTTGAAAATCCGCCCCCCCCCTCGAGAAAATCCTAGATCCGCCCCTGGCGCTGATACTAGCGGTGTTGTTGGTCTTAAATAACTACCCGTACTCAGTAAAAAGAAAAAATAATAGATTACAATGGATTTTTCTTGTCGGTCTCCTTAAATTTCAAAAAAAGTTGATTATGATTGATTAAAAATGGATTATAATGTTACTATTTTTCGAAACTATAAAATTCACTATAATTGTTTATAATCAATTGTAATCGATTTTTTTTTGAAAAAGTTTTAGCTGGGATTTCCCTCTTTGAACTATCTTGAGATATCCTTTTTTGGTGATGAAGCCTAAGAACTTTGGCGCCAATATATACTAATTTCAAGGGGGAAAGCGCGCCAAAAAAACGCGGATTTTAGATCAAAATTTTCCAAAAGTTGTCTAAAAACGCCTTTTTTGGCCTAGTTTTTCATAATTTTGTCTGTGGCGCAGAAACTTTGATCAAAATGGGGTCTTTAGAGTGAGTTAGGAGGGCTCATAAAATCACTTTGGTCAACCTTATAAAAAGGTCGACAAAATTATCGAAATTTTTTTGAAAATCCGCCCCCCTCACCCGAGAAAGTCCTAGATCCGCCCCTGCTTATAGCTTAAGCTTACATTAAATTTTTGTGACATAGATAGAAGAAGGGATTATAATCTATTATATTAGATTATAAGAGATTTTCGGAAAAAGTATAATCAATTATAATTGATTGTATTTATTAAAATGGCACCAAAAAGGTTATCATTATAATGGATTAAAAATCGTTTAAACATCTAAAAGTGACGCTCATTATTAATTATAATTTTGCTCAAAGTACGATTATAATTATAATATAATCGATTAATTTATCTTTTTACTGAGTGCGGGTATCTAACAGAACCTTGGCAGAGGAATCCCAGCTGTGTACCCACTGGGTCAAACTCCCGGAGAGCTCAACATTTTTGGATAGCCAGAATAATAGCTTAATTCGGAGACCTAAAGTAGCAAAAACCGATTCACGCATATCACAGTTTTTGCGCCGAATTTAAGCACAAGGGAGCCAAGTGGAGCGAAATAGAGCTAACATGATAAACTCACGAATTCAATTGTCAGATTTTTCTGGTATGTCACTAGACTTAGCTGGCGCGTCACAAAGCCGAGTACTCGGATAGCCAAAAAGTTCGTTCCCAGATTTGTTAACCATGGTTTATCTGGCTGTAAAAATAATCGGATTTGTGACACGCCACTGAATCTATTACGCAAGAAAAACTAGAAATCAAAAAAATATGTTAGCTAAAGAGAATTCAACATTCAACTATTCGAGAGTAATCCGGCTCAGTTTCAATTAATTTTGCGCAGTTTCAAAGATGTAAGCGTCACAACCTTGGTTATTGTTTCTCTAAGGATACAAAAAGCGATGGTTGCCGACAAAATTGTTAATTCGTTAAACCGTTGATTTTTTGGATTTCCTGGAAAGGTACCTAGCAGGTGTCCAGGCCTGGCTTTCAATTTTTTAAAATTCTAAATCAATCCGACGCTTCAATTTTTTTGTTGTTTAACTACTTTGAAATAGGCCTGTGGCGTTGTGGGGCTCCGGTAGTGATGGTGTCCAGCAATCCAATGATTGCTCGTTCAAATCGCGCGTGCGCTGCACTTTGCAAGCTGAGATCTTGCAAGTAACTCGTGGCTTAACTGGGCGATGGTTGTAAGCGCTCATATTAACCTAACCAATTAACCTTCGGCTTAGGCCTCCGGGCTGGTTGACTGAAAAATACACAATTTTTTTTCTCGAAAACTTTGAAAAACTAAACTGGGCAGGATTTGTAGATAGTTTCTGTTAGTAAGTTAAGGATTGGTTAGGAATCTTGAATTCTTGACAGAAAGTCAAAGGTATGCTCGCTCCAATCTCGAACTCTGAAAAAACCTAAAAGTATTCCAATCCGAACAGTTGAATTAACGGTAAAAATTTCTCGGCAAGTAAATCCGACAATCGTTAAATTTGAAAACTTTAATCGTTCATATCAACAACATTTTATAGCTTAAAACTCAAAGCAAGCTCCCAAAAGACTGGTATTTTTGTGCTCGAGACATTTTGCTCTTTTTTATAGGTCAGTCTTAATCAATTCTGAGCCGAGTAAGAGAAAAAAAAACGGTTAAAATAGGGTATCACCCCCATTTTAGTATGTTATAACATGGGTAGGTGGAGGGCTTGATCTTCCGCCCAACCGTTCAACTATTATGTCTAGTTTTTGTCCTAGGCCATTAGCTCTTATTTATTTTCACACTTTCGTTTCGTTATGTGCATTTACTTTTACGCTATTTGAGCGCGAACACAAGGTATTCCCCAGCTATGTAACCCGGGAAATTTTGACCGGCATGACCAACCAAAAACGAGCAGCTTTCGACTGTTCTTGAGCTACTTTGTTTCGGTTCTCAGTCAAATTAGGGTGTATTTTGACCGTACTTGTCGGGACTAGGGTGAGTTTTGACGTTGATCGAATTTGGGAATTTGCTCGTCAGAACATTTCGACCGTGATCAAACGAATTGGACCTCAATCTATGACATAAGAGGCTGCATTTTGATTATTTTCGATGCTAAATTCTGTTGACAGTGAAAGAGGCAGCTATCGTTCAAGGGAGATTTCGGGCACTGCGAGCAGCTGTTCAACTCTATCGGAGCACCAGTCGTGTAGACGAAGTTCCAGTATCATCACCACATCCAGCTTTGTCCGCGATTTCCCCAACGTTGATTTCTCAACCGAAAACTTATCTCGAAAGCACAGAGGATTGTCGATGCTGCGCGAAGCCGACGAACAGCTACAAAACGAAAAAGAAGAAGATAAGGACGTTGATGATGATTATGATGATGATGATGATGATGATAATGATGAAGAAACGAAAGCCTCAAGATCTAGTCAGCTTGGGTTCAACAACAGAACATTGGCCAAACTATTAAGGGTACATTTTGCAACTTTTTTGCTTTTGCATTGGAATTAGAATATCACCCGCTCTTTTAAAAAATTGGACGAGAACCAATATTTAGAATTAAGTACACTTTTTCTCGCATTCACTAACTAAAAACGACCTGCTATAAACAAACTGGATTAAATCGGTTGAAGTAAGTTGAAAAGGCTTTGGTAGGTTTGATTTGGCTTAAAATTGTAAAAGAAGATCAAAGAAGTTTCCTCAATTCGAAGAAATTTACAATTTATGAATTTTTCTGAAGGGGCTCCTTTACATGCCTCACGTGATTCATTTTTTTTAGTTTGAAGAAATCATGAAAAAATTGACCTCGTTGTTTTTTTCTTCAGAAAAACTTTGATTTTTTCTAAACAATATTTGACAGTTTGTGAAATTTTTTACAAAATCGGAAAGATTGCAACTCCGGCAGCTCAAAACTTTATAAAATAAGTATCACACACGCCGCTGTTTTTTTGAGACTTTCCGCGGACTTAAATTTTGCGAATTTTGGCAAAGCTTTGTTAAATAATTTGCGCTAGGTTTCTATTAACGCGTAGCGTAGGCACAAAACTTTTTGTTCCGACTTTCGAAGAAAATGGAATATTTATGCTCGATGTGGTTTTTTTTCATCAGTCAATTTTTGCCGATACCCCATTGAAAATATCAACTTCTTGAGTTCAAATTTAAAACGGTATTTTACCTCTGATTCTTTTTTGTAAAATTCTAGGAGTTTGAGAATTGCCAACTGGCCATGCTGTGGACTAAAATATCTGCGCTTTGAAGAACTTAATCTTATTGCTACAAGTCTAACGCGATTTATTTATGCGCGGCGAATTATCACGCACAACGAAATTCTTCCAAAATGAATTAAGGCTAGCTAATCGGTCGTAATAATTTCAAACTGCTCAACTTTTCACAGTTTGATATTGTCCAAAACTTATAAGTTTTCAAAATTTTCTGTTAGCAACAACTATTTGAATTGAATTAAGGGACAGTCAGAACATTCAGCGCGTTGCCCTGATATACGAGCAGTCTTGGTGCTCTTCAAAAACGTTTCGATTTTATATAAAACAGGGAAAAACACTGAAACCCCCTGACTGCCTTTTTGTTCCGTCTTTCGTAACGAAAGTAACGGCACAATTGTGCAGGACAGATTTCGACTTTTAAATCAACCATTTTTGATAGTTTTTTTAGATCATTTGAAGGTATTATTGTTCTGAGCTTAAAATTGAAAATATATCTGAGATCAGTTTTCGTAAAATTATGGGGGTTTAAAGATTTGGGACAATTTACGCGCGATATGGAAACCGTTCTGAAATGGTTGAAGGAAGCTTAGTGCCAGATTTGATTTGTTACTAGGAGCGAAATGTATATGGTGAAACTTATGTGTACTTTATATGGCCTGTGAGGGGAGGGTTTTCACAAAAATTCTCAAAAATAGAAAAAGAAAAGTTCCTTTTATTGTATTCTATTTATTTTTTTTCGTGTTTTTTACAGCTCCTTAGACCTTAAAAGCCAGTCGGAACATTCAGGGCTTTACCCTGATATGATTAGTACTGTAATGTATTTAAATTAGTATTTTTCCAAAAAGAATGGTAAAAGTTATTCAAAAAATTCTTCCTCCAGCTTATCAGATGAACTATAAAAGTATAAAAGTTGGGTATTTTCAGGCAAACTTACTAGACTGGGTTGAATGAGGTTGCCTTTATTTTTTGAGCCGGGTTGGGTTGCGTTGAAAAATATATAGCGCTCATCAAATATCGTTAGTTGACAAAAAAGGCATTTTTAAACCTTTATTTTTGATATCAGGACATCAAATTGTTCCAGACCAATTTCAAATATTTTGTTAAACAATGCTGGTTGAAATTGCAGAACCTGTGTTATACAGAAGGAATAATAAGAGTTTTATATGAGTCGTTATATACAGAAGGAACTATTTATTCTGCAATTTGAAACCAACTTGTAAATATTTCACCTGATTTCCATTTTTTGCAGTTCATTATCTCTATATTATGAGTATGATAAAAAAGAATGTGAAACAAAATTCAAAAAACCAAAAAAAGGAAATCATTTTCAAATTTTTGACAAAATTTTTTATAATTATAATTATGATGGAAAAATTTTGCCTTACTGTCACCTCAGCGTATTCTTTTTTCAACATTGCAGCTTGTTAAAGTTACACGGACAAGTCCTGCTTTAACCCCATTTAACCCAACAAACTTTTACGTGCATTAACCCAACTTCCAAGCTGACAAAACTTTGACACTTAAATTCTGAACTTCGTTGCAATTAAACCACCACAATTCTGAGAACAAATCTAGTTTCTACTCCAGTTCAAAAACTTCCATAAATTTTTATGCATTTTGATAATGATATTTCTGGCAGCACCGTTCGGAAATTATGCAATATTTTCTCTCGTGTTGAAACATAAATTGGAAGTTTCAGCAAAATGATTAAATTACAATCGACAGAAAGCAATCGAGTTGAGCCTCCTTTTATGAAAATGTTAATGTTTTTTTTCAGGCGCGGATCTAAGAGTTTCTCGAGGAGGGGGGGGGGGGGGGGGGTTGGATTTCAAATAAATTTTGAAAAAATTGTCGACCAAATGCATTTTCTAAGCTCTCCCAAACCACTATAAAGAGCCCTTAATTTAACCAAATTTTCTCCGCCGCAGGCAAATTTTTGAAAAAAGGTAAAAAAAAGCGTTTTCAGGCACAAATTGCGACCAAAAAATCGCGTTTTGTCGGCGCGCGCTCCCCTCAAAATTAGTATAGAAGATTTGCGCAAAGGTGCCTTCAGAAAATTTTCAACGTCAGCCAAAAATGGATATCTCAAAATAGTACAAAGGGGGGACCCTTTGGGTCGGCAGGGGGATCGAATCCCTGAGAGGGGGCGTCCTCCCCCCTCCCCCCTAAATCCACTACTGTTTGTTTTAAAGGAGTTGATTTTTTTGCTGGTCTGAAGCTGATTGTTTGTACAATCTCCAATTTTTTTATCAAGTTTAATTCCTCCTCGAATAATGAAAGAAAAGAACTTCGATCATGCTAAGAGAAAATATCTCAGCGTCCATTATCAGCATTAAAAATTAGTTCAACTATTATTGTTCCAACTTTCGTGGAAAGTGAGGAATTTAAATGCTCGGTTGATTTTTTCTATTCAGACCGATTTTACAAAACTTTAGTCTTTCGGGGGATTGATCGCCTGATCTGCATGGGCCCAACCAAGTGTGCACGTCACTATATTAACCTTCCAAAATTCAGCCTAAACTGCTCGTTTCATACTGCGCGCGAATTATCCAGTATTACAAAGTCATTCCAAATTGAAATGATGCAAGCTGATTGTATATACAGCCTTTAGTTCATTTTCCAAAAACTATTTCAGACAAGGTAAAGGGCAGTCGTAACATTCAGGGCTTTGCCCTTATATATGAACAGTCTTGTTTCAAGTAACTCGCATGTACACGTATCAAAAAGTGAGATTTAATTGGTAACACGAAGAGTGTTTCTGCGCGACATTTGCAGCATCTAAACGGTCTTCCTCAACATTTTAGGTTGTTGAAATATGGGCTACTCAAAAATTTATCTTAAAACAACTAGAGTTTTCCATCTATTCCCCCTTTGAAAAAGGGAAATTTACTACTACGTACCAAAGTCACATATGTTTAAACATTAAATCAGTTCATTATAGGTGTGGATAAATTCGTTATTAGGTACCACAGGGAAGGAATAGTTAAAAAGACCCAAAAAACAGATTTCATCAAAAAACTTCGACTCTTGGAAAAGGATTTTTTTTGAATTTTTTTATACCATGTTGATAAGATCCATTCCCTAAGTCAAAATTAAAAAATTATTTGACGTGTGATTGTTTTGTAAAGTTGTCGGATACTTTGTTGTTCTTTAGAAGAATTCTGCAAGTCAAAATCACATCATTCGCGTCTGCTTGCGACGAACTCCCAAAAACGAAAAGACGAAGCCGACTTCCGTGCCTGTGGAACACTATTATGTCATTTTCACGAAACCTTTTAAAAACAAAGATCTCATTCTAACTTTTGGCTGTCCTGTTCACGATCCTGATCATAAGTTATGCGCTCAAGTTTCACAAAAGATGATTCTGCAGCTGCAAACATTTATCGAATTTCTACAAACCGAAAATCAAGAACAAAGCAAGCAAACAAACTACGTAAAAGGTAAACGGAAACGTTAAATGGCGTGTGCGAATTTTGTTTCAACAAAACGTGTCAAAGAAATGAGGTTCAAAGGGCAGTTTTTGTAGGTTTTGAAAAAAGCCCTCCACTTAAATTCACTTTGTATTGGCGCCAAAGCGCCTTCAGCAAAACTTTATAATTGGTCGGCCAAAAATGGCTGTAAAAATTAATTGAAATGGTGAAATGGCCCCTCGAATCCTTACAGGCAAAATATTTAAATATTTTTTCATTCATTTTCAAACCATGACAGGGGCGGATTTAGGATTTTCTCGAGGAGGGGATTTTTAAAAAGTTTTCGAAAATTTTGACAACCTTTTTTTTAGGTCGACCAAATTGATTTTCCGAGCTGTCCTAAAGAACTAAAAAGACGCTGTTCTGAAATTTTTGAAAAAAGAGGTCAAAAAACCGTTTTTGGGCATTTTTTGGAAAATTTTGACAAAAAAATATCGCGTTTCTTTGGCGCGCGCTCCCCCTCAAAGTTAGTATATATTGGCGCCACCAAACGCGCCTTTAGAAAATGTTCAGGGTCAGTAGGCCAAAAATGGATTTCTTAAAAAGTACCAAAGGGGGACCCTTTGGGTCGGCAGGGTGTCGAATCCCTGCGAAGGGAACGTCCCCCCCCCCCGCCCCCTTCCCTAAATCCGCCCCTGAACCATGATATCTTTATTTGAAAGTTTTTTCTACAACTCGCTTGAAAAAAAAAATTTTTCAAAAACTATCTGCAAATGGTGCATTTTGATTTTTGAGCAGCGCTCGGAAACAATATCTTGTCGATCTAAAAAAAAGTTAGACAAACTGTTTCTTGAAAGTCATAAACTTCTACCTGCTCCAATACTAGCGAGGAGCAAAATGATTCGTTTCAATTTAGTTTTGAGTTAAGTTAACTGAATTATTATTTTTTTAGATTTGAACTCAACTTTTGAGGAGCTTCTTGATTTGCAAGATTGCGAAAGTACAATCAGTTTTCTCTCGTCTGTTTTGAACGAGTTCAACCGGACAGCTGGCAACAGACACATGCCACGGGGATCCACAATAGTGAAGTGCAGCGACATTTTGAACGCCATGAAATACAGTTATGAACAAATGTTCATGAACCAAGAATTCTACGTTGCTTCAGACGAAAAACTTGCAAGTTGCTTCGACGTCATAAAAGAACAGACTGTTAAATTCAGGTACTTGAGTTATCATGCAACAACAAATGTCAATCAGTATTATCTGTTTCTATCGATTTCTCGGGTATTTCGAAAGTCTGCATAGACCTTTGACCGAGATAAGAAAAACAATCAGTCATATTGGAACTGTTTCACAGATTGTGGCACTTTTTCTTCCGAGTTTCTGAATTGCAAAAATAGGACCGAACACTCAAAATACTGCAACCAATCCACGACCGTAGAGTACGTTGATTGTATCAATTTTTCAAGCGTTCCGAACCTTCTGCGATGAAAAAAGCACCAATTTTCTCCCTTGCCCCTTTTTTGTTTTTTATTTCATTTTTCTATTCTACAAGTTAAAGTAATCGAAGTTTTTCAAATTTTAAAATTGGAACCGCCGACAAAATCATTAAAAAAAGTATATCTCTCCACATAAACGTACTTTGTACCTAAGAAAAATATTGAAAAAAGTACAGCAAGGGTGAAAAAAACAGAAGTTAAGACAAAGACAAAATCATAACCAAGGACAAGAATATCAAACATTTGTGAGCGAATTATTAGCGAGGAAGATTTGTCGTGTTTTCATCCTCTTAAGAGATTCGTTTAAAGCAGGGTCGCAGCCTTTACATTTTCGCAAGATGGGGATCGATTTTCAAAATAATATTTCGAATTATTTGATTGCCCTGATTTTTTAGAGTTGCAGCACGAGGCACGTTGTCTTCTCTTGGAGTTCTGGATCCTATGTTGCACCTTGGATGGGAATCGGAGAACCTTCTCAAATGTGGGGCCATTATAGCCCAATTTCCACCACTTGTCTATTTCGTACACACCAACGTCCAGTCTAAATTTGGAATAGCGCCTAAATTCAAACTGTCCTCGCAAAATAGGGACTTGATCAAGATTATCACACATGCATACCATGTAAACGAAGTTCTGACAGCAAAAAACCGAACTGTGGAGTTTGCGTGGCGCGGTGATCAGTTTTTGTTCACACGGACTATCTTCATCGGCTCGGCTGGGGACGTTCTTGAGACAATAGATCGAAATATTTACAAACTGTTTTGTGTATTTTTACCGTTTTGTAAGGCAAGTGCGGCTCTAAGTTGGACGAAGAGTCTTCACAGACTTCTCTATGACGAGTTCATACAAAATGATAAAAGGTTCCTTTAGTTAGATAATGATATCTTCAAAATATTGGAAGATTTTCATATTATCGATAGGTTTTTATTACTCGATTTATAGTTTAGTTCATGAGTACAATATATCTTGTCGATCTAAAAAAAAAGACTAATAGACGTTTTTCATCATGATGAGTTCTTAAATATCGCCTCCTAGTCTTTTTCTATCTCGTAATTTAGTATAATGAAAATTTATGTTTCAAAAACCCCTTTAGGGGTGAAAAGGAACTATAGCATGTGTGGTGTCTTTTTCGAATGATTTTGATGAAATCAAAGAAAACTCGTGGGAATTTTCAGACAATAATTATCTTTCAAATTTTTTGCCATTTTTTTCTGTTTTTTGAATTTTTTCTACATAAGTTTTTGTGTTCGACACATTCTGTGCTATTTGCGCATCCACCAAATACTTTTGTTTTATTTCAAATTTCAGTTAAGAATAGATAACTAGAAAGCTTCCAACAGTAGATAGTCCACAATACGTTTCAGTGATGATTTTAAGCGCTGATTGGTGTTTTGTCATCTTCAGGGTGTTTTTAAAAATTATCTCTCAATTCACCAATATTAGATAATTGAAAACATTGTTTTGCAATAGGCGGTAAAGCTTCGTTAATTTCTGATTTTCATTCAATTAAATTCATTAGTTTCTGTTTGAATTTTCAATTTATTTTGAGCTGAACTAGTTGTTACAATGGTAACCTAAAATAACTGGATAAAAATAAACCGAAGTTTTGATCTCAAACGATTAAAACTCATTTTTCTCAAAGTTATTATCTGAAGTAAAGGTATCATCAAAAATTGGCAAAATTTTATTGTCTATTAAAAAAAATGGCTTCAATAGCTTAACTATTGGTAAAATGGGAGATGATTACTAAAAATCGTGTTATCAAAACATGTTTTTTATTTTAGAATTTTGCTTGATATAACTGAATTTTGTTAATTATATTTTCCTAAACAACCAGAAAAGTCAAAATGAGAAGAAACAAACTATTCTCTCTGGATGGTTATACTTTTCGCCACAATCACTTTTTAAAAAACCCTGAAATGTTTGAACTTCTGACAGAAAATTGATTTTACAAAAAAAAAACAAGGAGGGACTCTTCTTATGGTCAGTTGGTCGAATATCATAGGGGCCCGAGTTTAATAAATTGTGTTTAATTTGGTACTTGTGTTTCTTTCAGAAAAAATATTTAGGATTTTGCTTTCAATAAATTAAGCTCAAAGCAGGGGCGGATTTAGGGGGGGGGGGGGGGGGGCGGGGGGGGGGGGGGCGGACGCTTCCCCCTCAGGGATTCGACCCCCTGCCGACCCAAAGGGTCCCCCCTTTGATACTTTTTCAGAAATCCGTTTTTGGCCGACCGACCCTAAAATTTTTCTAAAGGCGCCTTTGGCGCCAATATATAGTAACTTTGAGGGGGTGCGCGCGCCAAAAAAAACGCGAAAAAAACGCAAAATTTTTCAAAAAGTGCCCAAAAACGGCTTTTTTGACTGTTTTTTAAAAAATTTGCCTGCGGCGCAGAAAATTTTGCCAAAATAGGGGCAAAACAGTGCTTTGGGAGAGCTCGAAAAATCAATTTGGTCGACCTAAAAAAAAAAAAAAAGGTCGTCAAAATTTTGGAAAATTTTTTGAAAATCCGCCCCCCCCCTCGAGAAAATCCTAGATCCGCCCCTGGCTCAAAGTGTGGTGGTCGGAACATTCAATGCTTTAAAAATCGTCTTTTAAAAATCGGCATATAAAAATTATTTACGAAATAGTTTATTGCCATTTTTTTTAAATAGAAAAGCAATCTTATAAATTATATATGGTTTAAGCATAGTCGCACCGCACTCGTTGAGAATAATTATGGAACGTATGAATGAATCTGGTTAGACTACTAAAACTGTTTAGATTATGCAGCTCTTATATCCTGGTGAAAAAACTTTAAAAGTACTTATCACCGATCTAAACTTGCACAGTTGTGTTGTCACTGGTTAACTAACTTGGCTATTATTACTTTTTACAAAAAAAAAATCTTTTTTTTTTTGTTTCTAAAACTACAATTTGTTTGTATTATTTTAAAATCATCCTTCGCACTGATGTTAACGGTTAACCGTATTATAGAAACTAAAGCCAATTGATCGATGAAACCGCTCAACTAATTGACCAAAAAGTATAAGTTTGAAACTTAATTAACGAAATACAAAATGGGCTGCCGGCTGATTCAAAAATATTTTCGAATTTCTTCCCAGCGTTCGTTTCTCTACTGCAAAATTATTTTAGTAACTTCTGTATTTTGGTTTTTATTTGATGCATTTTTATTATTGTATCTTGCTTCCCCTCTAAATCCTACTCTTGGCATAGACAATCAACCAATTTTAGCGCCTGATGTCACCATGCCAAAGCTACTTAGAGCGTTCGAAAAAGCTGAAAATAACTCAATTGCTGATCAAAAAGGAGAACTTCGTCAAGTCGAAAAACAAAGAAAAACAGCGAAGAACGTTCATAATGACAGCGCAATAATCAATCGTAGACCTATATCCGACCACAAAACTTTCGGTAATTCGTTAATTTAACAAGTTTAAAATTTTCGAATACAAATCGTGTTTGACGGAGCTAAAATGAGGAAAAGCAACAGGTAGTGCCGTGCGCAGAAATTTTCCTAGGGAGCAGTTTTTCGAAAAAAACTTTGAAAAACTTGTCGACTTTTTTAAGGTCGACTTTTTTTGGTTATAATGAGCATTTAAAAAAATACTCCTACAAGTCTTGAAGCTCACATAACAAAAAAGAAGCTTTCTGAAACTGACCACTTTTTACTGATTTTTGGCAATTTTGAGTGTAATATTCGAAAATAATACAAAAAATTTGAACAAAGAATATGAGTCACAGAATATGAACGCCCCAGCATTACGAGGCCAAACTTTGCACTGGATAGGCGCACAATTTTGCGTCTGTATGTTCCTGCATTCCAGAGACAAGTCTTTGAACAAGCTATATTTTTGTCTGAACAATCAAAGAAAATAAAAAAATGCACAGTTTGGCCTCGTAAAGATTTTTTGTTGCGAAAAAAAAAGAAAATTGGAGCAAACATTTTCAATAATTTTTTTTTCTTTGAACTCTGAACCCTTTCAAAATGCTTTGCTAAAAACAAGGAAAGTGTTCGTAACAAAAAAACTGAAATTTATAGTATTTACTGTTATAATTTTAATTCAAAATTTCGGACTTTCGGGCAAGGACCAAAAAAATAAGTTTTTTATACTAAAAGTTTTATGAACTTTCATAATATAAACAATAGAAATGATGTATCAACCCTTTAAATTTATCAGCGCAAATTTAAAAAATAATTTCTGCTTATAGTGGGAATGATCGGCGAGCCTTTTGAGCGTGACATGAACCCGCCTGACCTCCCGGGCGAAATGGGCAAGGATGTGATAGTAGATCCCAGTGAGAAAGAAGAGGAGAAAAAGCTGTTCAGTGTGAACCAATTCAACCTCCTAGTTTGCAGCAAAATTAGTCTCAACAGATCCCTGCCTGACTTCAGGCCCGAAAAGTGAGTGATTACGAAAAGAAAAGTTATTTCCTAGGCAACTCACCAGTGTCATCTGCAGTTTTATTCTAGTTTAAGAAATTTTTCATTAACTTGAATTTTATTGAATCAATCTCTCAGATTAAAAAACTAAAACATTACGAAGACAGCTGCGGTATCATATTACAGTTCTTATCGACTGAAAATTTGAATGTTTTTGACGATAAATTTAATTTAAATTTGGTTGATTTTGTAGCATTTTTTTCCGAATAAAAAAACTTCGGGAACAACTTTTATTGGAATGAAAGAAAAGTTTTCTACGGTTCAATTTGAATTAAATAATTTTGATTTTAGGTCATATTTAGCCGGTTTTTTCAACAACAAAAAAATTAATTTTTTGGAATTATTTAATGTCGTTCAGATCACAAATAAAAGGACTTGAATATAATATATCGTTCATTTTTTTTCCTCCCATGATTTTTTGGTATCTGATTTTTTTTGCTTGGAAAACAAAAAGAAAGAAAACAGAAAAAAACAAGTTTGAACACTAAAACCGAACACCCGAACACAATTTCCGTCCCATTTTTCAATGGCCGAAACAACAAACAAAGCCATCAAGTTTTGCGACAAACAGTGAATCATGCCAATACCTAGAAAATTATTTAATTCTGTCTAGAAATACTTAATTTCGATCTCAATTTCTGTTCAAAACTTCTTCGCAAAATGTTTAGAAAAAGCATGGATTTTTAAAAATTCTTTTTTCTTCTGTAATTTCTGTTCAAAAATTTTCTAAATGTGGGCTGTTTCTCATCAGAAAATCTTATTTCTAATCTAATTTCTGTTCAGATGTTTTCTAAAACTGGGCTATTTCGAATCAAAAAAAGCTTTTTTTCTGATCTAACTTCTGTTCAGAAGTTTTTTAAATCAGGGCTCTTGAAAACATTTGACCTTTGTATATTCAAATTGAGAACGCCGAAATATTTTAAATAACCAGAAAATATCAATAATGTTTTTCACTAAAAATGTTCACTGTCGAGTCAATGCGAATGCTGCACACCGTAACCAGTGAAAGCTGTTTTTCTAGATGGAAATGTTATATAGATTACCTAGCCAATTTTTTGGTGTTTTCTGTACAGAAATGATCTATTTCTTTCTTAGTTTAGAAATAAACAATTTCTGGAAAAAAATAACCAGAAATCAGTTCACTGCTCAACCGAAACGAGTTAAACATTCTTCGAGTATACACAATAGCCGTTGCAATACAGTGCAAATTAACGCTTGTTATAACAAGTGCTGCTTTGAATTAGACTGCTAAAACTATCCTGCAGTTTTATGTAGTGTGGCTTATTGGTTAGCACAACCTCTTTTATATTCGCAGGTCGGGAGTTCGAGCCGCAGCCGGAGCAACTTTTCTAGCTAGAAATAGCCTAGATTTATCTAAATTCTGATCAGAAATAACATGAGAATTTATGAATTTTAAGAAAATTCCTGCTATATTTAAATATTTCACAAAGAGTGTCTGACCAGAAACATGGAATAAATTTAGATTATTCGCGCTCAAAAATAAAAGAAGTATCTCAGTACGGGATAGCAGGTTGAATGCAATAGCCGCGTCGTTATGCAAGATGCCTTATCTGTAGCGGCTTATCACGGCATCGAATAAAACTTGATGTAACATAGAGCCTCCATAGTCGCGATAGTCTTGATGGATCTTTTTGATCGCAAAAAACGCAACGTTTGGTTGAGCCGACCATAGTTTCCTGGGAATTACCAATCGCGCCGTATCAATTTTGATTGCAAAAGTCCAGTTATTATGCGAAAGTCTGAACATGCCGGGTTGCATCGCGAAAGTCTGGTCGCTCCATTTTGGCATCGGTCGCAAAAATTTGACAAATATTTTTGGTCGCGGAACTCTGGTATGCCAAGCTTTGGTCGCGGAAGTCTGGACACGGCAAAAATTTGTTGTGATAGTCTCCCGGGTTGACCAAAACTTCTTATCATACAATTTCCATATATGAGAAACTTCTTGTCATACAATTTCATACAATTCCATACGTACAGAAAATTGTATGAAAACTCTATGATAAGCATTTTTCCATATATGAAAATTGTATGATAGGTGTTTTCCCATTAACCAAAAATTTTTGATTTTTTCTTTCTAACTTTAGTTTCTGAAAAATTTTCGGTTGTAGTTGCAACCGAACACAAGTGACAAAGACCTTGGTTACGCAAAACACCAATGGTTGGACGGTCTTGCATTTACAATGCATAGAAAACGACCTGAATTTGTCCGTCTTTCACAATTCATATAACAAAAGTAACAAACTTTTATTTTTTGGCAAAATTTTCTAATGATGATTATATTAAATTTTTGAATTTTCAAATTATCAGACATTGATCAAGGCGTACATTAACACCCCATACAAAAGAAAGAGGAATTTTCAGCGTTTTTGAAAAAAAAAAATTAAGTGAAAAGAAAATAAAAGCCAATTTTATCGTATCCAGGACTACGTTATGCACACAAAATATTAAATTTTGCATGCAAAATTTTTTTTTCGAAAAATGTTTGTTTGCGTACGAAAATCGATTTGCGGTTGAAAAAAAAAACAAAAAAAATTTTTGTGCTAAATTTTCAAAATTACTTGAAAAAATTTTTGTGTCGCCACCAAAAAAATGCCAGTCATACAATTTCCATATATGGGAATTGTATGATAAGCATTTTTTTCAAAAAACGAAAACTTCAGTTTTTTATCACCAGATTGTTTTATAAGAAACAAACAGCCACAGAAATGAATTTATACCAGTTTTCAACATTTTTAGAAATTGTATGAAAATTGTATGACAAGCATTTTCCCACACACTTGATGTATGGAATTGTATGATAAGCATTTTCGGTGTATGGAGGTCAACCCGGGCTAGAAATAAGTCGCAGCCTTCGACCCGCGATCCAAATAACATCAAAATAATGATTTTTGAAATCAGTGAAACATTTAGAACATAGGAGCAACAATAGTCATGGTTGAATTAAAGTTTCAAAAGATATTATCTGGTGTACTTTAAATGCCTAGATGTAAGAATCGACAATACCCGATGGATTTGCCGGACACGAGTGTGATCATAGTGTTCCACAACGAGGCAGAGTGCACACTACTCCGCACAATCTACAGTGTCATCAACAGGACTCCCAGACACTTGCTGAAGGAGATCATCCTAGTCGACGACTTCAGCGAGGGCAGAGGTAAGTCGTTTCCAGGGGTAAATCGAAAATGACTCACTATCTGAGCTGAACAAGAGTCTGATATTTGCTCTGCAGTTATAGGGTCTTTTTTCCTAATCGCTAGTTGAATTGATTCAAATTGAATTGATTCAAAACATTACAATTAAGACATAACTATTATGGTTTTTTACAGTATTGAATAAAACGTTCATTCATTGGTTCAATTAGTTGACGCATCGCATCCATTACAATGGTTGATTCGACATTCTGGAAACCTGTAAACGTGATAACGCTCTCAGTTACGACACAAAACTCTGTTTTTCTCATACAAAACATTACTGAGTTATTTATCAATTCGACTTTTGGTCAATATAGCATTCAGAAAAATATCTTGCTTAACGGAAAGAAACTTGGGAAAATCTCGATAACTTGGGAAAGAAATGTTCTGGTAACTTTTATAAGTACTACATCTTTGAAGAGAAATTATGTTTCACTAGATTATTTACACGATCCCCTGGACGAGAAGCTGGCGAAGTTACCTGTTCACGTGTTTGTGATTCGTCTTCCTAAGAGACAAGGTTTGATCAGAGCCAGACTGGCGGGTGCAGATGTGGCCAAGGGAAAGGTACTCACTTTTCTGGACAGTCATTGCGAGGCATCCAGGGGCTGGGTCGAACCCCTGCTTGCAGAAATTGCTCTAGACAGGTATAAATCTGTTTGTTAAATGCTGCTCCCAGGGGCGGATCCAGGATTTTCTCGAGGGGGGGGGGGCGGATTTTCAAAAAATTTTCAAAAATTTTATCGACCTTTTTTTAGGTAGTCCGAATTGATTTTTTGGGCTCTTCCTGAGCACGGTTTTTCCCTGTTTTGGTCAAATTTTCTGCGCCGCAGGCAAAATTTTTTGAAAAAACAGTCCAAAAAAGGCGTTTTTAGGCACTTTTTGGAAAATTTAGACCCAAAAAATTGCGTTTTTTCAGCGCGCGCTCCCCCCTCAAAATTAGTATATATTGGCGCCTAAGGCGCCTTTAGAACAATTTTAGGGTCGGTCGGCCAAAAATTGATTTCGTAAAAAGTACCAAAGGGGGAACCCTTTGGGTCGGCAGCCTGCTCCTCATCATTTTTTGAGAGAAGAAACAAACCAATTTGCTTAATCAATTTGCAAAAAGGACAAAAGGCCGACGGATTTTACTAAATTGTCCTCTAAATGGTTCTTGGACTTAGGCAAAAACCAATCGCAAACACGGCATGAGTTTTCACGATGTTCTTTTAACTCCTGAAGAATATCAAATCGGCCGTTGGTCATTTACAATCTTGTTGGACGAATAATTTGGTACAATATTTTAAGAGGGAAGCAAAACAACAAAAAAAATGGTCTAGCAGAATGGACAATTAAGAGCAGAAAGGGTTCCAAGAGCAGAAAAACAGAAAAACTCTAATTTTTATAAGCTAATAGGTCAAATAAATATTAGAATTATCAATTCAACTAAATAAACGAAAAATTTTTGCCTAAATCAATTTTTTTTTGGATTTACACTTTTATTTCTCCCCGCCCCTTGATTGACCTTTCAAAGAATGCCTTTCCCAAACATGCATTAATTCTGAAAATTGAATCTGTATAAAATATGCATTTTTTACAACCGCGCCAAATGGAGTTATATTTCGAAAGTTTGTGTTTAGTTTGTATTTTGATGGGCTACAAAACTGTCAAATTGAAAAATTTAATTATATTTTGATAATGAAATTTGGGTAAAAGTGTGATAGAGGGGTCGCAAGAAATTAACTGGGTCCCTAATGTAATTAAAGGGCCTCGAAATGAATTTGCGCAAATGATGCGTTTGTGACGTGTCAAAAAGTTTTGAATTGACCGACCGGCGCATTTTGAGGTGGTTAATTGCGGTATTTGCTTAAAGTTAATGTAATTTGAGACCCGTATTTCACACTTGGTTTTTTCCAGGACCGTCTATCGCTCTCCAAGCTCTCTACAGTTCTCTACAAATTTATTTTATTAAATCGCTACAAATTTTTAAAAATGTATCTTCTCTCCCACCATTAATTTCGGAGAAAAGGGAAGCTTACGGTCGATCTTTTTTGTTCCGACTTTCGATAAGAAAGTAACGGAATGTTTGTGCTCGGGGTGGCTTTTTTTTCTTCAGACAAATTTTGATTTTTTAACTAGCCATTTTTTCTTATATCTTTCAAACAGTACTGTTGTCTTGAGCTTAAATTGGTAAAGATGTTTCATCTGTGATCATTTTTCGTAAAGTTATGGGGGTTTAAAGAGTGGCATTTTGGCCAATTTGGGACAATTAACGCGCGATTTAGTTCGCGCTATTAACGCGTAAGCGGAGACTTAATTCGTCTTAGAAATCGTTCTAAATTGGTTGAAGAAAGCATATTTGCCATAATTGATGTATTAACAGAAAAATGAAATTTATCACTTGGTACTTTATATGGTGTGTGGGGGATGATTTTCACAAAATATCTCAAATTTTTTAAAAATTGTTTTTTCATTTTATTTAATTTTTTTAATTTAATTTTTCCACGTTATTACTGCTTCATAGACCTTAAAAGGCAGTCGGAACATCAGGGCGAGCTTCGCCCCGATACGAGCAGTCTTGTTTTAATTTAAAAGTTTATCAATTAACGTATAATTTAATCATTTCCTTGATAGTATGACGATTTTAATTAAGGTTTTATCCATTAACCCATATAACATTACAAATAAGATTTTTCTGCAGGACTAAGACACTTTCTGTTCTTACACAGTCTGCTTAATGGCTGGCCACTGATCCGTTAAGTTAAAACAAGAAACCAGTCTAAAAGCTAAGCAATAAAGAGCAGAAAAATCCAAAGTTAGAACAAGACTGCTCGTATCAGGGCAAAGCCCTGAATGTTCCGACTGCCTTTTAAGGTTTATGGAGCAGTAGTAACTTAAAAAAATTAAATCTAATAAAATAAAATGAAAAAAAATATATATCTAAAATTTGATTTTGTTTATGAAATCACCCCCCACACGCCATATTAAGTACAAAAGAATAGATTTCGCTCATTGTAACAAATCAAGTATGGCGAATAAGCTTCTTTCAACCAATTTGGAACGATTTCTAAAACGGATTAAATCTCCGCTTACGCGTTAATAGCTCGAATTATATCGCCCGTTAATTGTCCCAAATTGGTCAAAATGGCCAAAAAGGCAATCTTTAAACCCTCATAACTTTACGAAAAATGATCACAGGTGAAATATCTTTTCAAGTTTAAGCTCAGGACAACAATAGCTTTCGAATGATGTAAAAAATTTCCGTCAAAAATGGCTAGTTAAAAAGTCGAAGTTTGTCTGAAGAAAAAAAAACCCACTCCGAGCACAAATATTCCGTTACTTTCATATCGAAAGTCGGAACAAAAACATTTTCAAAAAATTTATCCGAATATTGAGAAAAACATAATAAAAATTTTCGATTTTTGGTCTAAACTCGATCAAAAATCTAATAAAGCGAGCAGTCTTACAATAGCTCATTTATTCCAAATTTATGCCGTGAAAAATTGATTTTACTCAAGTAAAATTGGTTTTTGGAGTTTTAAGCTCCATTTTTAAAAAAAAGTTCTGCAAAAAAAATTGAAAAGTTTTTTGAATTCATTTTTTTTTTGTTTCTTAGACATTTCTCTACAAAATCTGTTGTCTATTTTGTCTATTTTAGTATGACTCTCGAGTATGCAGTTCCAGGTTTTCGTTCAGATTGTTTTATCACACCAGAAAAAAGCGGCGACATTAATTTGAAAAACTACTGTCGGAACATTCTGTGCTACTTGCAAAGTAATCGGCTATCGATGTTTAATTTTGGAAATTTGGAAATTTAAAATTTTGACAATTTTTAGAACACCATGATTTTACTTTTAACAATCAAAAAGAAAAAATCCTAATAATTTTCATTTAATGAATTGGCTTTCTACATTTCAGAATAAATTTTTAAGTAAAAGTCGAAGAAAAACCACTTCGACAACAAATAATCAGTCGCCCTCTTCTTCAAAAGTAAAAGCAAAATCTGCGGTAGATTTAAGCGCAGTGAGCTGTCATTGCTGAGAAGACACCTCGGATACTCTACTATGCTACAACTTTACTGACCAAGTCCGATTATCTTATTTATCCAATTAAATTTGTTCATTTTGGCACCCATTTCCGGGTGCCCCATTTTCAATCAGTGGAGTAAATGTTTCTCAAAAAACCGTGTAAAGTACATCAAAGTTTCAGTCTCATAAAAAACAAGACTGCTTGTATCAGGGCGAAGCCCTGAATGTTCCGACTACCTTTTAAGGTTTATGGAGCAGCAGTAATAACATAAGAAAAAATTAAATGAAATAAAATAAAATGAAATTTTTTTTTCTAAAATTTGAAATATTTTTTAAAAATCATCTCCCCACACGCCATATAAAGCACAAAAAGATAGATTTCGCTCCTTGTAACAAATCAATTATGGCAAATAAGCGTCTTTCAATCAATTTGGAACGATTTCTAAAACGGAATAAATCTCCGCTTACGCGTTAATATATCGCGCGTTAATTGTCCCAAATTGGCCGAAATGGCAATCCTTAAACCCCCATAACGTTACGAAAAATAATCACAGGTGAAATATTTTTTCAAATTTAAGCTCAGGACAACAATACTTTTTGAATGATAAAAAAAATCCGTCAGAAATGGCTAGTTAAAAAGTCGAAATTTGTCTGAAGAAAAAAAAACCCACCCCGAGCGGAACAAAAAAAGTTTTCTCTTATATTCAGACGAAGCCGTGAATGTTTCTATTGAACATAAGGGCAATTAAAAAATTTAATGGCCGCGAAATTGATTTAAAAAACGACAACTGGTTTTTTTTCTAACCGTACAATTTCCACGTTCACCCCCAAATCGATTTAGGGGGATAAAAACAATTTTTTTTTCAAAATAACGTCAAATAGTTTGTATCACCATAAATAACAAATTGTTTAACTATCAAAACACAATTAATACGTCGAATTAAATAACTTTGTAGTCTATCAAAACACAAATTGTATGTTTGAAAAAGTAGTGACTTTTTGCGCGTTCGTATGAAATGCATATTTTATACAGATTTAATTTTTAGAATAAATAAGTGATTGGAGAGGATATTTTACAGAAGGTCACTTAGCGAGGGAGAGCGGGGTGAGGTTTTACGGTTGAGCTTTGTTTTACATTTGAGCTTCGGCGGACAACAATGTTTTTCAGGCGGTCTAAAATGTCTATCGAAAACAGTTAGTTAAAACATCGAAAAATGACAAAAAAAAATTACACAGAACATAGTTATTTAGCTTTTTTCTGAAGAGCATTTTAATTCTGATTGGACAGAAAAAAAGATTCGGACTTGAATTTTGACCTAATATAGTCTCTATTTTGACCTAATATAGTTTGCATGCAGTATTTATACATAAATAAAAATGAAAAAAAATATATATATTTGTAGAAGAACACAGTTAGTTTATGAGTCGACATTTCCAATGTTGTAGCAAGCAAAAAACCACGCCTTACTGCGTGTTTGAGCATCAGTGAAAAATGATTTATGAAGAGACCAGCATTTATGAAATGATATTAGAAAAAAATGTTTCGTGGGGGCTCTTATTATATGTCAACAGATTCACTCTGCTCGCTGATCAGTTTCAGTTTTAGACCATTCTATTCGCTACTCCCCTAGCTGAGAATTGTTTGTGTACTTCTACTTTTTTCGAACAATTTTTGAAAAGAAAAACTGAAAAAAAAATAAAGAAATTTTTTTAATTGTTTTTTTTTTTCGAATGAGGACTGGTTTTTGACTGTGAATTGAACATTTCTTTTTTTAGTCTCTGTAGGTAAAATCAAGATTGGATCATCAAACGCAAATAATCAAAACCATTAAGAAAACAAACAATTATGAAACACAAAACGTTCAGACCAGTGTTTCGTAATTTGAGCTGCCATGAATAAAATTTTTCATGGCAGCTCAAATTAGAATAGTTTAGGACGACAGTGATGACTCCCATGATTGACATAATAAACAAGGACACCTTCGGTTTGGCAGTGGTCGAGGGTGTGGGAGGGGAGCCGCAAGTGGGGGGGTTCGAGTGGAGTCTGACCTTCAACTGGTACCCCATGCTGGAGAGAGACAGGAGACGCAACAGGGGCGACTTCAGTCTCCCAGTCGAGTTAGTTTTTTATTTAGGGGAGAGATCGTGAAGTGGTTAGGTTCCCTCATTGAATCCAAAAGCAAAAATCGATGGTTCCAGGGCCACTTAAGATCCCTTTTCGATGCTTGAGGATCAGGCATTATCACATAGCTAAAAAAAACTGCACGTAATTCTTGAGCCTAGGTATGTTTCGTTGCTCTTTCCCTTGAGGTTAAACGTTCTTTATTAAGTCTAAGCCACAATATATAAAACAGCATAAAACTTAATTATTCAAGAAACGCGCTTTTCACGAATTTTCTTAATTCATTTTTATAATTCAACAAAACTTTCAGCATCAAATCTGAGAAATATTTCTCACGAAGATGAGTAGAACCATGATGATTCATTGAATAACACTGCAGCTTGTTTACTTTCCAGCTCTCCGACAATGGCAGGTGGACTGTTCTCCATGGACAAGTCATACTTTGAGGAGCTGGGAAGATACGATGATGGCATGGATGTGTGGGGAGGAGAGAACATCGAAATATCTTTCAGAGTAAAATTAATTTCTATCTTAATTTTTAGATTTACCAGACACAGTGGATCACATGTAGAAGTGAACACATGTAGAAAGTCGTTTATAATTATTAGCTACTAGTTAGTAGAAACAAAGGCCTGAAAGTTCGAAATCAAGAGACGAATAGAGGTTAGTAAAAAACTGAGGTTAGTAAAAACAGCGAACACCAACAAAAAAGCAAATCGAAGCCTTCACAAAAATAGCAAAAACAGGACCAAAAATTTAGTTTTTAGTAGGCTGGGCAAAACATTTGTTCCTATTTGAGTGTGAATTTGAACGCAGTGAAAACACTTATATAAGTGTTGTTCTTTTTCTGGAAAAAGTCTTATTATTGTTCATGCTCAATTCAATTCGGAAAAAGTTGCTAAAAGGAAACCAAATTACACTACGCTGGTCTATGATGAAATTGTAAATGTTTTTTTTTATAGATTTCCCTCGCGAAAACAATTTAACTGTTGATCCAATTTTTTTTTTTGCAAAACTCAATTTTTCCAAGTTGGTAAATTTTATCGAGCCAATTCTAAAAGATTCTTGAAATCTACATAAACTTAAAAGCCTTCAATTTTTTTCAATGAAAGTTTTTTTAAAAAAAATCTGTCGTTTCGTTTTGGTGTTTTTGGATTAACAGCGGTCTCTTGACTGTGTTTTGGACAAAAAATCACATTGGCTGCGTGCGATTTCCAGATTTGGCAGTGTGGTGGTCGAATAAAAATATCGCCTTGTTCACACGTTGGCCACGTGTTCCGCAAAAGCTCCCCCTATAAATGGCCTGGCGGGGTGTCTAAAATACTGCAGCGCAACAACCGACGTCTGGCTGATGTCTGGATGGACGAATACAGATTCCTCTGGTTCTACATCAGCGCAGGTCTGCTTTGAAAGCCTAGTGAAATAATTAATAAGCCTATTTTGTGTGTGAGTGTATGTCTGGGGGTGTGTGGGTGTGTGTGAGTGAGTGTGTGCGCGCTTGTTTGTTTGTTTGTTTGTTTGTATGTGTCTATATTTGTGTGTGTGCCCGCATCCAAGTTTAGGCGTAAGTAATTGATTATAACGGTTATTATGATGATTTTTTGACAATTTTAATGTTAACGTGATATTTTCCAAGAGATTATAATCTCTTATAATCGATTATAATTGATTATAGTTCTTACAAAAAACCCTTGAAATCAATTATAATCTCTTGTTTTGCTGAAATTTTCTATATTCGAATTACATCTTATGGGTTATTATTTTTGTGCTATAAAAAAATCTCTAAAAGAGAGATCTCTTGAACACTTTGGTTCATCTGAACACAAAGTTTTACTACGAAACAAAAGTTTCATAGAGATCCTTTCATATGTGGAAAGGTTCTCGCAATAGATGAAAAAAAATTTCCGAGTCAATCATGAAACTAAATCAATTTGCTGATGTTTTGGTGATTAAAAAAGCTTAAATTATGCATCACAAACAACTCTAATGGGGAAGAAATGAAAAAAAAACTTATAATTTTGAATCGATTGGAAAACTTTGAAAACATTTGTCTCATTTTTTATAGGAACCAACGTCAACAAAAAGCACAAAATATGAGCAATTTAGATGCAATTTTGATGACAAAATGGACAAAACAAAAGGGATTATAATCAATTATAATAGATTATAATGGATTTTTGTGCAACACTAATGAGTTGAAAAGGTAAATCATAATTATGAATCATTATAATCTCTTATTTTGCCAAATTTTGTCAATTCTAAACTTTATTCGAATTATATCTTATGGGTTATAATTTTTGTGTCAATAAGAAAACTTCTGAAAGAGATATCTCTTGAACACTTTGGTTCATCTGAACACAAAGTTATACCACGGAACAAAAGTTTCAAAGAGATCCTTTCATATTAGTGGAAAAGTTCCCGCGGTAGAAGAAAAATAAAATTTCCGAATCAATCATGAAACTAAATCAATTTGCTGAAATTTTGGTGGTTGGAAAAGTTTTAAAAATGCATCACAAAACAACTCTTATAAGGAAGAAATGAAAAAAAAACTTATAAATTTGAATTGATTGGAAAACTTTACAAACATTTTTCTCATTTTACATAGGAACCAACGTCTACAAAAAGCATAAAATATAAGCAATTTACATGCAACTTCGAAGACAAAATAGACAAACAAAAATGATTATAATCAATTATAATCAATTATAATGGATTTTTGTGCAAAACTAATGATTTAGGAATTTGAATAAAAATAAGGGATTATAATAAATTATAATTGATTATAATTGTATGTAAAAAAGACGAATAAATAATCGCTTGTAATCGATTATAATGGATTATGGTAACTTATAGTTTGATTTAAAAAAGAGAGATTATAATTGATTATCAATTGATTAAAATCGATTGTTTCTCAATTTTAGTAAGACTGGTACTAACATTGTAATATAATCGATTATTAACCCTTGAAACTGGATGCGGGTGTGTGTATGAAGTATGTGTGTGTGTGTGTGTGTGTGTGTGTGTGTGTGTGTGTGTGTTTATAAAAATATCATGTGAATGTGCCTCAATTTTCGATCGACATAGTTTTACTTTTTGCAAGAGTAGTAATTCATTTTAACTTTTTGATTAAAAAATGGAATGTTTGCAATAGTTGTGTCGTTAACTTCAGACAAATGACGACTTTTTAATCAGCAATTTTTGAAGGAAAAACTGAAAAAAAAGATGACCTTAGCTCAAACCTAGAAGATATTTTTGCCTACAACAATTTTTTGAACTTTTTGAAAAATTGTTTTGAAAGTCAAAAATTTGACAATATTGAGACAAGTCGACAAGCAAAATACATCCACAGAAGCAAAATACAAAAATACCTTACTTTGCCATTTTTTAATTCGGAACAGTTTTATGTGCGCAATAATAATTGGTTTTAAGCTTTCAGCATCATACAGAGTAAACCTATACAAGATATTTCGTACCAAACTGCATGGGAAGGTGCAGATTCTAGGTTTGATCGCCGCTCTAACTTTTTTTCCATAAACTGCCAAATAGTTTGTTATATCACCATAAATAACAAATTGCTTAACAATCAAAACACAATTAAAACGTCGAAATAAATAACTTTGTAGTCCACAAATTGTCAGTTTCAAAAAGTAGTGACTTTTTGCGCGTTCGTATGAAATGCATATTATATACAGATTTAATTTTTAGAATAAATAAGTGATTGGAGAGGATATTTTACAGAAGGTCACTTAGCGAGGGAGAGCGGGGTGAGGTTTTACGGTTGAGCTTTGTTTTACATTTGAGCTTCGGCGGACAACAATGTTTTTCAGGCGGTCTAAAATGTCTATCGAAAACAGTTAGTTAAAACATCGAAAAATGACAAAAAAAAATTACACAGAACATAGTTATTTAGCTTTTTTCTGAAGAGCATTTTAATTCTGATTGGACAGAAAAAAAGATTCGGACTTGAATTTTGACCTAATATAGTCTCTATTTTGACCTAATATAGTTTGCATGCAGTATTTATACATAAATAAAAATGAAAAAATATATATATATTTGTAGAAGAACACAGTTAGTTTATGAGTCGACATTTCCAATGTTGTAGCAAGCAGAAAACCACGCCTTACTGCGTGTTTGAGCATCAGTGAAAAATGATTTATGAAGAGACCAGCATTTATGAAATGATATTAGAAAAAAATGTTTCGTGGGGGCTCTTATTATATGTCAACGGCCACAATATATAAAACAGCATAAAACTTAATTATTCAAGAAACGCGCTTTTCACGAATTTTCTTAACTCATTTTAATAATTCAATAAAACTTTCAGCATCAAATCTGAGAAATATTTCTCACGAAGATGAGTAGAACCATGATGATTCATTGAATAACACTGCAGATTGTTTACTTTCCAGCTCTCCGACAATGGCAGGTGGCCTGTTCTCCATGGACAAGTCATACTTTGAGGAGCTGGGAAGATACGATGATGGCATGGATGTGTGGGGAGGAGAGAACATCGAAATATCTTTCAGAGTAAAATTAATTTCTATCTTAATTTTTAGATTTACCAGACACAGTGGATCACATGTAGAAGTGAACACATGTAGAAAGTCGTTTATAATTATTAGCTACTAGTTAGTAGAAACAAAGGCCTGAAAGTTCGAAATCAAGAGACGAATAGAGGTTAGTAAAAAACTGAGGTTAGTAAAAACAGCGAACACCAACAAAAAAGCAAATCGAAGCCTTCACAAAAATAGCAAAAACAGGACCAAAAATTTAGTTTTTAGTAGGCTGGGCAAAACATTTGTTCCTATTTGAGTGTGAATTTGAACGCAGTGAAAACACTTATATAAGTGTTGTTCTTTTTCTGGAAAAAGTCTTATTATTGTTCATGCTCAATTCAATTCGGAAAAAGTTGCTAAAAGGAAACCAAATTACACTACGCTGGTCTATGATGAAATTGTAAATGTTTTTTTTTTATAGATTTCCCTCGCGAAAACAATTTAACTGTTGATCCAATTTTTTTTTTGCAAAACTCAATTTTTCCAAGTTGGTAAATTTTATCGAGCCAATTCTAAAAGATTCTTGAAATCTACATAAACTTAAAAGCCTTCAATTTTTTTCAATGAAAGTTTTTTTAAAAAAAATCTGTCGTTTCGTTTTGGTGTTTTTGGATTAACAGCGGTCTCTTGACTGTGTTTTGGACAAAAAATCACATTGGCTGCGTGCGATTTCCAGATTTGGCAGTGTGGTGGTCGAATAAAAATATCGCCTTGTTCACACGTTGGCCACGTGTTCCGCAAAAGCTCCCCCTATAAATGGCCTGGCGGGGTGTCTAAAATACTGCAGCGCAACAACCGACGTCTGGCTGATGTCTGGATGGACGAATACAGATTCCTCTGGTTCTACATCAGCGCAGGTCTGCTTTGAAAGCCTAGTGAAATAATTAATAAGCCTATTTTGTGTGTGAGTGTATGTCTGGGGGTGTGTGGGTGTGTGTGAGTGAGTGTGTGCGCGCTTGTTTGTTTGTTTGTTTGTTTGTATGTGTCTATATTTGTGTGTGTGCCCGCATCCAAGTTTAGGCGTAAGTAATTGATTATAACGGTTATTATGATGATTTTTTGACAATTTTAATGTTAACGTGATATTTTCCAAGAGATTATAATCTCTTATAATCGATTATAATTGATTATAGTTCTTACAAAAAACCCTTGAAATCAATTATAATCTCTTGTTTTGCTGAAATTTTCTATATTCGAATTACATCTTATGGGTTATTATTTTTGTGCTATAAAAAAATCTCTAAAAGAGAGATCTCTTGAACACTTTGGTTCATCTGAACACAAAGTTTTACTACGAAACAAAAGTTTCATAGAGATCCTTTCATATGTGGAAAGGTTCTCGCGGTAGATGAAAAAAATTTTCCGAGTCAATCATGAAACTAAATCAATTTGCTGATGTTTTGGTGATTAAAAAAGCTTAAATTATGCATCACAAACAACTCTAATGGGGAAGAAATGAAAAAAAAACCTTATAATTTTGAATCGATTGGAAAACTTTGAAAACATTTGTCTCATTTTTTATAGGAACCAACGTCAACAAAAAGCACAAAATATGAGCAATTTAGATGCAATTTTGATGACAAAATGGACAAACCAAAAGGGATTATAATCAATTATAATAGATTATAATGGATTTTTGTGCAACACTAATGAGTTGAAAAGGTAAATCATAATTATGAATCATTATAATCTCTTATTTTGCCAAATTTTGTCAATTCTAAACTTTATTCGAATTATATCTTATGGGTTATAATTTTTGTGTCAATAAGAAAACTTCTGAAAGAGATATCTCTTGAACACTTTGGTTCATCTGAACACAAAGTTATACCACGGAACAAAAGTTTCAAAGAGATCCTTTCATATTAGTGGAAAAGTTCCCGCGGTAGAAGAAAAATAAAATTTCCGAATCAATCATGAAACTAAATCAATTTGCTGAAATTTTGGTGGTTGGAAAAGTTTCAAAAATGCATCACAAAACAACTCTTATAAGGAAGAAATGAAAAAAAAACTTATAAATTTGAATTGATTGGAAAACTTTACAAACATTTTTCTCATTTTACATAGGAACCAACGTCTACAAAAAGCATAAAATATAAGCAATTTACATGCAACTTCGAAGACAAAATAGACAAACAAAAATGATTATAATCAATTATAATCAATTATAATGGATTTTTGTGCAAAACTAATGATTTAGGAATTTGAATAAAAATAAGGGATTATAATAAATTATAATTGATTATAATTGTATGTAAAAAAGACGAATAAATAATCGCTTGTAATCGATTATAAAGGATTATGGTAACTTATAGTTTGATTTAAAAAAGAGAGATTATAATTGATTATCAATTGATTAAAATCGATTGTTTCTCAATTTTAGTAAGACTGGTACTAACATTGTAATATAATCGAATATTAACCCTTGAAACTGGATGCGGGTGTGTGTATGAAGTATGTGTGTGTGTGTGTGTGTGTGTGTGTGTGTGTGTGTTTATAAAAATATCATGTGAATGTGCCTCAATTTTCGATCGACATAGTTTTACTTTTTGCAAGAGTAGTAATTCATTTTAACTTTTTGATTAAAAAATGGAATGTTTGCAATAGTTGTGTCGTTAACTTCAGACAAATGACGACTTTTTAATCAGCAATTTTTGAAGGAAAAACTGAAAAAAAAGATGACCTTAGCTCAAACCTAGAAGATACTTTTGCCTACAACAATTTTTTGAACTTTTTGAAAAATTGTTTTGAAAGTCAAAAATTTGACAATATTGAGACAAGTCGACAAGCAAAATACATCCACAGAAGCAAAATACAAAAATACCTTACTTTGCCATTTTTTAATTCGGAACAGTTTTATGTGCGCAATAATAATTGGTTTTAAGCTTTCAGCATCATACAGACTAAACCTATACAAGATATTTCGTACCAAACTGCATGGGAAGGTGCAGATTCTAGGTTTGATCGCCGCTCTAACTTTTTTTCCATAAACTGCCCGGGTTGACCTTCATAGACCAAAATGATAATCAATTAACTCCATAAACTAAGTCTATTAAAAAGTATGGCATAAAATTTGGTGTATCGTATTAAATAAAAAGAAAAATTTTTTGTCAAAGAAAATGCTAATCAAACAATTTCTATAAATGAAAATTGTAAGACTAGCATTTTTTTGATGGCGACAGCAAAAGTTTTTCCAAGTAATTTTGAAATAGTTTTAAATTTTCTTTAGTTTTTTTCAACCGCAAATTGAACTTTGTACTCAGACAAACACATTTCAAAAAAAGTTACATGCAATTTTTTTTTTTTGTGCATAACGTGATCCTGGTTTCACTAATATTGGATTTTTTTTCCTTTTCGCTTACTATTCTTTTTAAAAACGCTAAAAAAACCCTTTTTTTGTTTGGCATGTATGCTTATGTATGCCTTGATAAATTTGTGATAATTTAAACTTTCAAATTTTAAGAGTCGTCATCGTTGACCATATTTGCCAACGTTTAAAAGTTTTATACCTTCGTTATATTTTTTGTGTAAAACAGAATTTAGACATTTCATCCGTTTCCAATTCATTTTTATTGCGAGACGGTCAAACGTTTGGTTACTCTACTTTGAGTAACTAAGGTTTTTGTCACTTGTTTTTGGTTACGAGCACAACCAAAAAAATTTGAGAAATACATTGTAAAAAATCAATATTTTTGGTGTATGGAGAAATGCTAGTCATACATTTTCCATATATGAAAAATCGCTAATCATAGATCTTTCCTGCAATTTTCTCTATTTATGGAAAAATATGAAAAGTGTATGATTAGCACTTTTCCATATATGAAAATTGTATTACTAGCATTTTGGTCAACCCAGGTGGTGTGAACAAATTAATCCACCACGAATTATTTTTTCCCAATTTTCCTTGAAGGGAAAACTGAAGTCTCTCATTTCAATTCGAACACGTTTTTCATCAATAAGATATTTGTACATAGCGCTCACAATTAATTATAAATTAGCCAAATTATTGGTATTTTTTATGCCAATATGAGTACCAAAAATTGAGAAAAAAAATTGAAATTTTTTTGTTTAGAGCTCAGGAGGTCAATATTTTCAGATCGTATAGTAAAACAAATTACAAGAAACCGTTATATTTGCAAAATTTCGGACTGCCTCTTTAGGTCTATGGAGCAGTAATACTATGAAAAATTTAAATGTAATAAAATAAAATAAAATATTTTTAAAGAAAAATTCGAAATTTTGTGTGAAAACATCCCCTTACACGCCATATTAAGTAAAAAAAAATGATAGATTTTGTTCCTATTAACAAACCAATAGTGGCATATAAGCTTCCTTGAACCAATTTGGAACTATTTCTAAGACGGTTTAAATCTCGCTTACACGTTAATAGCGCGAAATGTATCCCGCATTATTGATCCCAAATTGGCGCAAATGGCTATCTTTAAACCCCCTAACCTAACCAAAAATGATCACAGTTGAAATATTTTTCTTAAATTTTAGCTCAAGACAATAGTTTTCGAAGGATATAAAAAAACTCCGTCAAAAATGGCTCGTTAAAAAGTCGAAATTTGTCTGAAGAAAAAAACAAGATGGCTCATATCAGAGCGAGACATTGAATGTTCCAACTGCCTTTTAAGGTCTATGGAGCATAATAACACGAAAAATTACACACATAAGTAAAAAAAAATAAAATGAGTTTTTTTAATTTGAGTCCCACAAATCATCATCCCACACGCCATATAAAGTAAAAACTGATCGATTTCGCTCCTAGTAATAAATCAATTATGGCAAATAAGCTTCCTTCAACCAATTTGGAACGATTTCTAAGACGGATTAAATCTCCGCTTACGCGTTAAAATCTCGAATTATATCGCGCGTTAATTGTCTAAAATTGGCCAAAATGGCAGTTTTTAAGCCCACATGACTTTACATAAAATTATCACAAGTGAAATATCTTTCCAAAGATAAGCTGAAGACAACAATATCTTTTGAAAGATATTGCCGTCCAAAATGTCTAGTTAAAAAGTCGAATATTGTCTGAAGAAAAAAAACCACCCCTTGAAAATAATCCGTTACCTTCGTAACGAAAGTCGAAATAAAAACCAACCGAGCACAAATATTCCGTTACTTTTGTTAAGATAGTCGAAACAAAAATGTTTGACAACTATCTTTGTTATGAGCATCAGCAAAACAACCGAATTGTAAACCGAAACAGCCAACCTAAATTGGCGAAACTTTCACGTTTTTCTGTTTTGGCGCGAGTTGAGCCAAACTTCGCAATCCAGAAGACAAATATAATGCCATTATAACACCGTTTTAGAATAATTAGGTTCAAGTTACGTTTAATTTCGAAAATTAAAGAAACTAAAAAGCCACTGTTTTGATTTTGAAGAAAAAAAATTACCACTCTTGTTAGTTTCCATTTTTTGTACTCAGCATGACAGGACTTCTCCCGTTTTTTAATCTCGAACTTAACTCGAATTTACTTTAATTTTTTATAGGATTTCTGTTGTTACTTCTTTTGATCTCTACACATCGAAGAAAACTATGAATTGGTGATGACTTGTTTCAGACGCGAAGTATGTTGATGCCGGAGATTTGTCTGAACGACACGCCCTGCGAGCAAAACTGCAGTGCAAAAGCTTCCAGTGGTACCTGAATAATGTCTGGCCAGAATCAAGTTTCTCTCTGCATGTTTACAATTTGGGATTTGTAAGAAGCAATTTGACAAGTCTATACTTTTTAATATATTCTTTACTTCAAATTTAATTTTTGTCATGTCTTTGGGTATTTTTAAAAAATCATTCAAAATCATCAGTTTTTTTATTTGCTTTAACCTCGCAAAATTGAATCAAGTTTAATTACATTTCACGGTCACCAAAAAGTCATTTTCAAATAGAATCTTTTTCAGTTAACAACTTAAAAAGTAGTTTTTTTGCGTTACAAATTTTGATCAATTAAATATTAATTTTTGGTAGCTAGCCTCTTGAAACACACCTTTTTAACTCACTGCAATTTTCCTGTCAAATAGTGTCGCGGAGTTGTAGTAATATAAGTTTTGAATTAAAACGCATTTTTTCCTTTTTTGTGTGAATTTTTTATGACATTGTAGGATAGGCTGTCATAACACTCCATACCTAATTCTAACTTGGGATAATATCATTAACAAACGCTTGCACTTTCTCTTAAATTTTTCTTTAAAATAATTAGTCGCAGTTTTCAAGTTTTTGCTTCTAGATCAAGAACCCATTGACAAGTTTGTGCGTTGACACTATGGATAGAAAGAATAACAAACCAGCAGGAGTTAGTGGCTGTCACTACAAAGGAGGCAACCAGGTAAAAATATGTCTATCTTTAGCATTTTGGAGCTTGAGGGGAAAAAACAGTTTAAAGTTAACTTATGAACTTTAATTTATAGGTGTTTGCATTAACGAGACGCCACGAAATACGAAGCAACCGTTTGTGTCTCGATGCGAACTCTTTGAAGAAGGAGGGCAATGTGTTACTGTGGGAATGCCATTTGCAAGCAGGAAATCAGTACTGGCTTTATGACGAAACAGTAAGTTTTGGAAATAAAGAGCGTTTTTCTATATTTTTTCTCTTACTCACTCTGGGGCTGCAATAATCTCACACTGGCGCCGCATATAATCTAAAGGGTCATTTTCAGTCAGTGGATGTATGTTTTTTTTTTCAAGCAATAATAAAATGACGTTTGATCAGTTTTATAAATTGATTTGTTACCATTTAAACTTTTGTGGCTACTTATCTATTCTGATACATCCCTTGTGCGTGCTTTTTTGGAAAATTGATTGTTTTTCTGTTCCAACTAATTAGGTTAACCAACTAGAAAAGTTTTGTAGACTTATAGAGATATAGACAGGGGCGGATCTAGGATATTCTCAAGGGGGCGGATTTCCAAAAAAATTTTGAAAATTTTGTCGACCTCTTTTTTTATTAAGGTCGACCCAATTGATTTTCCGAGCTCTCCCAAAGCACTAAAAAGACCCTATTTTGGCCAAAATTTCTGCACCTCAGGCAAAATTTTGAAAAAAAAAACAGGCCAAAAAAGGCGTTTTTAGGCACTTTTTGGAAAATTTTGACCGAAAAGTTGCGTTTTTTTTGGCGCGCGCTCCCCCCTCAAAGTTAGAAGATAATGGCGTCAAAGGCGCCTTTACAAATTTTTTAGGGTCTGTCACCAAACATGGATGTGTCAAAATAGTACAAAGGGGAGACCCTTTGGGTCGGTAGGGGGTCGAATCCCTGAGCCCTTCCCCCCGCCCCCCTAAACCCGCCCCTGCGTATAGATATCTTTCGTGTGCAGGGCATGGTTGGTTTAAAAATTTTCAGTTTGGTCCAGTAGTTATAGAGAAAGAAGCCGAACATCGAAAACTGTGAACTCTACGTTTTATTGGCAATTTAATTCCATAATGAAAAAAGAACTAACTACGTGCATCCTAATTTGATTGAAATTGTTCTTAAAGTTTTCATTATGAGTTAAGGCCCCTGAAACTCAAGTACCTAAATTTAAGGCTTTGAAAATAATTGTTACACTTCAAAACAAAAAGCTTTTTAACTTTTGACACTCATTCACTTTTAGGCTATGAACATATTGGTTTCAAAAAGATATCAAACTTTACATGGAAAAAAGTCCAATTTGAATGAAAAAGAATTGAATTGCTACATTATTTATACATCAAAATTATAGCTAAACTTCAGACAATAACTGTTTTAAAAAAGGCGAAACATCTGATTGGTTTTTGGTCTAATGGCTGTTCGTTTGTCATAGAGTTTTTCCGGCTAAAATTTGCTGCTCCTGTGCTTTTTTGTAAAAGGTGGAGCCAGTGTTGTTGGATTCGGAAGGATTATTTTTCTAACAGGCTTCTGGCGTGTTGTACTTGTTTTTCCAATCAGATTTAATCAAAATTTGAAATAACTTAAATTTCAAAAATTGAGATATTTTTTCTTGTATTGAGAAAAACAGGCCTGAATTGTTCCTTTTACAGACTCAATTACCTTGAATTTAATGCAAAAACAAACTGAATCACTAAATAAAACTACCCACACTTTGATAAATGCTGTAGCAAGGGGAGGATTGAGGGGGAAAGCCTCTCTACCCTCTCAAGGAATCGGTTCCCACTTTCTTAACTCTAAACAATTTAACACGATACAATTTCAGTCCTTACTTTTGTTGCCTAAGTATTTGAAAACACCATATTTTAAAACTATTTCAACAACTTGACACCTTTTTTATCCAAAATGAAAAAAAAAACTAACTTCTAAGGGGATTTCGTGAAACATCAAAGAACAAAGCAAGAAATTAAAGCAGACAATTTTGCGCTACTTAATCCGAGTAAGATTTGAATGGAATTGACCTTGCCAGTAATTCAGATTGTTAAAATGACTCGAATCAAAAATGAGCAATCGTTCAACAAACTTCAAGGGCCCTATAGTAATAAAACGATCTTTGACTAAAATGGTGTTTTTTTTCCAGAAAACTTAAGCCGATACAGAAGTTAAAATAAACGTTTCACCAACGCCAAAAGTTTAAAGAACTTTCAATTTTAGAATCAGTCTCGAATTGGAACTTATAATATGGTTGCTTTGTTCATTTTTTTGGAATTGTTGGCATATAAACGTATAGCTGAAGAGTTTGTCTGCCCATAGTCCCAACCTAGCATCCCGAAAAAAAGATTGATTATCTGGCGATTGAATTACTAGTGCACGATTCAAGTTCTTGCGTTTACTTACGTTTTCTGCAATTCTGTGAGGAAACTTCTTTTCAAAAAGCTGAACAATAAATTAAGAAGTTTTTAAACTTGTTTTTTAATGAAGCGAAACAGCAAAACCAAAAACAGATTAACTTTACACTGGTTTAACACAAACTAGATAGCGTAATAGTACAAAGAGGTTTTATCTTCCTAAATGGACCTTATAATTTGTACTTTTTTATTTTATACACTGTACTTTTTCTTTTTTTGAGAGTTTATAGCCACTAGATGTATAAAAAAAAGTTTTTTCGCGGAGTTGTTTTTTTGAGGCTACCCAGTTTTTTTCCCACATATTTGGCTGGGCTCCGCTGAAATAGGATTGGATGCAAAAATACCATCCTCCAAGAGCATTTGTTGTTCTTGCAATCCCACTCACGGCCACATCTGGCTGGTTTCAAAGGGAGGTTGGGAATGAATCTTCATGGTTTGGCGCACCATGCTTTTCATATAAGTAGAGCCAAAGTACAGACACAACTCGTCAATTTTTTCAATTTTTTCGAGTTTGAAACAGTTTCTGTCGCATACACACTGAATTTCCTGAACAATCATGTCATAGGACTCGCCAATTTTTTTCAAGTGCAAAAGAAGGCCATCATATTTTTTAAGGCCATCGATAAATCGTGATTCGTTTTGTAGGTGCTTCTCATTCAAAATTCGTTATTTTTCTAATATAACTATGTGAGAGATGGAAAAAAACAGTCCTATAAATTCGCTCCAAAGCTTTTGTAGGAGGGACTGAAGAGTAGCTTGCTCAAATCTAACGAACTTTTTTAACCCCCTGTCATATCGGATAAAATTTCCGAAAAATTCGGGGGTCTCGAAATTTCGTTTTTTTTTGGGATGGATAGCATATTTCCATCTGGCTGCTTACGTGTGCGCGCAGTAGTTCGAATCCGTCTGTCTTTAAATAGGAGGGCAAAATGAATGGCCAAATCATTTGTTACTGGCGAAACTGCACTAGTAACTGCGACCGTCTCTGAAAACCGTCTCTGAAAACCGTCTCGCTGAGATATTTTAAATACTGGATGATGTTTCGGGCAACTGATTTTCCCGCTGAATTGTCACGGTTATGCTCTTCAAGCGTTGGTCAATCAGTTTTTTTTTGTTATGGCAGATGCTCGACATTTAAGTGTTTGTAATTTTGAGCAAATTCAGTTTTCGGCAAACTTATTTTTTCCGTGACCGGACGCTATACGAAATGGCTTCCTTCTAGTTGACACTGTGAATTCCAAAGAATACTCAATCATAATTTGTGTTTGGTGTTTGCGTTTGTGTATCACTTGAGTGCAGCATAAAAAGACCCTCATTATTTTTTAATTGTCAGCACTATTACTTCGAATTGTTATGAGTTAGCTCAAGCAGGTCTTTTTAGTAATCATAATGGTTTAGCGAAACATCTAAATGAAAAAAATAAGAAACTCGTCAAAAAGAGTCCTAAGTGTTTTGTGAAGCCTCATTTCAGCATGTATAACTGAGGTAAACAAAAAATTTTCAATTGTGACGCCTGCGTTAAGTGGAGGTTTAACTTTGTTGCGGTAAGATTTGAGATAGGGATTCATACAGCACTAATTTTGGTGATCAATTTTTAAATAGGAATTGAATTTTGTGGATTTAGATTTTTTAGTAGCGAAATATTTAAGTATTAAAATGTACGGTGTTAAAGTGGCTGGTATTAAAATGTAGAACACCAGGGGTTCGACCCTCAGCCGACCCAAAGGGTCCCCTCTTTGTACTATTTTGCGATATCCATTTTTGGCTTACGGACACTAAAAACTTCTAAGGGCGCCTTCGGCGCAAATGTATACATATTTTGAGGGGGGATTGCGCGCCGAACAAACTCGGTTTTTTGGTCAACATTTTCAAAAAATGCCAAAAAAATGTTTTTTTTTGCTTGTTTCCTTTTTCAAAATTTAGCCTGCCGCGAAGAAAAATTGGCAAAAACAGGGTCGCTGTACTACATTGGGAAAGCTCGGCAAATCAGTTTGTGCGACGATTTGGAAAAAAAATGTCGATGAATTTTTTGAAAATTTTTCAAAATCCGTCACCCCCTCCTAGATCCATACCTAATTTAGCTCCTAGCTAACACCAATTTAGTTTCGCTAATACCAAATCAATTGCACTTCATCAAAACAAGTTTGAGAAAATAATGAAGTTTGAAAGCAAAATAAAAAATTTTTCTTCAAGTTTTATATATTTTTTGAGTTCTTTTGCTTAAATCATTTTTTGTCAGAAAATACTGTATTTAATTGCAATAATTGGCTGTCTTTGCAATTAAAAGAGTCTGCAGGCGTCTATCATAAATGAAAATTTTTAATAACAGAATAACGCGTCAAAAGACCCTGAAGCTTTGATCTTCTAAATTTTCATTTGAAAAAATTAAGACAACCATTTTTTCCCCAAGTTTTATTTATTTTTCTCTCAATTCATTGAGAAAAATTAAGGAACAACATGTATTTAAAAAAAATTTTTTTTTTAATAATTCATTGATAGTCGCATAGTTTTCTCTCGCATTTTGACATCGTTTTTTTAGCCAATTTAAGTACCTCGCAAGGGTATTGAAATACTAAAGTTTTATTGTTCGTGATTAGGATTCTAAAAAAATCAAAAAGGTCGTTTCAGCTTCAAAAAAGTTTCATGTCGTTTCAGTGTAAGAAAAGACAATAAAATGTTTTCAATTTTCAGACTTATTGGACTGAATTTGTTGTGAAACTGAACTTTCGAAGCTATTTTTTAAACCTATGCTTGTCTGTTTTTTATACTAATTCGGTTGCGTTTACTAGAAAAAATAAAAAGAAAAATTGAACAAAAAAATAAAAGTACTTTTTATCTAAAATTTTTTTACTGTTTATAATTTATGTTCTTAAATTAATTTCTTGCATAAATTTATGTTCTTAAATTATTTTCTTACATGACTTTATGTTCTTAAATTAATTTGATCGCATCGGCAAGTTTGTTTATAAGTCAATTATTTTATGTTTTTTCCCAGTATTGCTAAAAAATCGAAAATTACAATTGGAGACTACATTATGCCACAGGATACAATCGTCAATCGGACAGTCAGATGCCAATTATAGAATAGATTTAATCAACTATATGTTCATTGCTTGAATTTACCTCGCCACTCCTTTCGAAACAAAAAACAAAAAACAAATTTCATTTAAAAAACAAAAACAAGATTCATTATTTTCGGCGCCATTTCAAGCAATAAAAGTATTTCTGTGCTAATTGCTCTGCCACTATTTAGTCGAAGTACACTTTCTAATTTAGGTTACGAAACACATCATCCACAGAGATTCCTCGTTATGTCTGACCATATCAAGCAACAGAACTGGACTCCATTTGGAGACATGTGACGAAAACAACAAACTGCAGACATGGGAGTTCAGGAACGCCGAGGAGCTGGATGGCCTTCTCAAAAAATATTCAAAGGATGATTCAAAATAAAAAACACAATTTCACTCGCTTCCTTTTTCCTATTACGATTTCCTCGCGACCGATTTCGGTTTTTACAATTGTGTCTTTTCTGCTATTCGTCCCAAAATTGGCAAATTTCAATTAACATTCTCTTTTTAATGAAATTGTTTCGCTGGAAATCATTTCAACTCATCAGATTTAAGCATTATGATTCAAATTTCACAATAACCAAAAGATCAATTTTGGGCCGTATATAATAAAAAATAGCCATAGCCCTACAATTTTTGATCACACTGCTCAATTGCATTTTTGCAACAAAACTGACTGCCTTCCTATTTCTAACGGTTATAGTGTTAATATACAACGCTTATCTATGAACACTTGGTGTGTTTGATATAAGACACAGTTTTAGTGGTCATTTTCATAACGGTTGAGCGGTGTGGTCCTAAATTAATTTGGAAACGTTTAGTCATAGCTGGATGTTGAATTGGATGTCTGGATCGCGATGGTGGGCGATCTTTATGTAATTATTTAGCCGCATATCAAAACTAAGTTTAATCTTATAATGTTGGGTTATGTTCCAGTTTCAATGTTTTCATTATTAAATCATTTTTATTTAAAAAATAAAGTAATGGAAAAGCATAGTTTTCACCTATGAAAAGATGATTTACAAAAAAACGCCAATTGTATTTTTTTTACAATAAGTTTCGCACCAAAATGTCACGCTAACTCACAAGAATCATCCTTATAAAATACAATTTCTTTAAACAGTTTCTTCCACCTTCTGTTCTATCAACTCTTTAGTGTACTCTTCATTAAATAAAATTATTAACAGAAATAAAGTTGAAAAGTTGAGGAGCAGTTTTGGAAGCCACAAGCTGTCCTTTGCTGTAACTTCCGAACATGCAAACAAAATTTGAAAACTTGAAGTTACAAAGATGTAAATAATGGGGTCTAGATGATTGCTTAAGTTGTGAGTTAGGGTGACATTTTGGTGCGAAACTTATTGTAGAAAAAAATGTTTGCTCATTGTTGTTTTGGTTTTTCTAATGGTCAATTACGTAACAGCAAATGCGTCATTCAATTACAAGTCTTTACAAAAAATCGGAACATGTTAACATGGTACTAATGGATGTTTCTATTTACCTTATATATGTCTCATATACATGAAGTGTTTGACTTTTTCACACAAAAAGAAAACGCTATATTGTGGATCCAAACACTAAAACATATGTGACATTTTAATTACTTTTTTGTTAAGCTTGAAAAAAAAGATTTTCCTATTTCCACTTTTAATTTCTGTCCTTATTTCATATTTCAAGTCATTTATTTATATTCTTCCTTTTTTGTGAAACAATTTTATATATCAATTATTAATAAACATGGTTTAATGTGTTTTTTTTCAGCCTTCAATAAGTTTCATGTGCTTAAAAATATCACTTTTTTGAAAAAACTATTTCACTAAGTTTGTTACAATGCGCTCAAGGTTGCTTCGAAAATTGATGTGTTGCTTTTCAACCAAAAATTCTTTTCTTTACTGCCAATTAATTTTTCTCACTTCTATGGTTTGGTTTATTTTCGATGCCTTCCTGATATTTTACTTTGTTCAAAACCAAAACACGCAATTGTCCAAAGACGGATTACCCAATTTAAATATTCCGGACGTAATCAAATCAGCACTGCCAAATCAAATCAAAGGACTGGATGCTGCAAAGAATGAATCAATTGGTGCCAAGCTGTCTGCTGAGCCAATCAGAATGGAGCAAGATTATCCACCAATCAAAGCGAACCAAGAAGATGGTCATCTCTCGAAGAAAAAAACTTTCGGTACAGTTTCCTCTTCATTGTTCATTGTTATAAACTAATTGTCCGACATTTTTTCAACATAGGTTTTAGATCGAACAAGCAAAATCAAATATTTATGCATGCTATTAGGATTTGATGAATAAATTGAGCTCATTGCTATTGAAAAAAAAAATCGATTATAGGTGCCTAAAAAATGTGAAACGCCTTTTAATGTAAACATTCTTTAGTACTAGTTTTGTTGCAAATTTTCAGTTCTCGACGGTAGATATTTGAGATTAAGTTTCAAATTAGAGAGGTGAAAAAATATAGTGTTTAATAGGTATTCTAAATTCAGAAACTTGGCTATATTATTCATAGCATACTTGTTTCAGTTGACATGCTCGGTGATCCATACGAGCGAGATTTGAACCCGCCTGACCTCCCGGGCGAGAGGGGAAAAGGGGTGAAAGTGGACCCAAGTGAGAAAGAAGAGGAGAAAAAACTGTTCAGTGTGAACCAATTCAACCTTCTGGTTTGCAACAAAATTAGTGTCAACAGATCTCTACCCGACTTCAGACCCAAAAAGTAAACTAGGAGTAATTTTTCAACCACTCACTGTCAATTACCTAATTTAGTTCGAGTGAAATCGTAAAAATAACAAGCAAAAAAATTATATGTGCGAAATAGAGATCAAACATTTATCTCGAATTAAGTCTGAATTAAATAAATTTTAGCTCTCTAATTATCTATTTTTTCGTGTTTCTGCATTAATCGGACTAGTTTTTACAATCCAATTGCTTAACAAGGATAACCGGTTACTGCGCAATTAGCACAGAATATTCCGACAACAGTCTTTAAAAGACTACAAAACGAGTTTTTTCATATTGTTTTTTTTTCTGCGTTGCGTGCTAAAAAGATCTGATGTAAATCTATAATTAAGGCATATTCGTAAACTATAGTAAAATAGACAATTGAACAAGTTTTTGTTGAAAAATGACAAAAAAAATCAAAAAATCGGAACCAAACACCTCAAGAAAGTTTTTGGAATTTCGTGAGGTATAAGATTCCCAAAATGGCGCTAAGACATTCACGAAACTAAGTTAATCTGCTTAAAATTATAAATTAAGATCCTAAATTCAGTATAATTAAGCTATTCTCAGCCCGCCCGCTCGCTTTATTCGCTCAAATATGAAATAAAAAATAAAAAACATTATACCCGTTTTTCTCGATACTGAGAAAATGTTGCTTTTTTTGAAAAATTTTTGCTCTTAAGTTTTTTTTGGAATTTTTGACAATGTTTTAATTTCGATCGAATAACAATTTATAAGGCGTCAATTTGCTATTTTACTTGACTCATTCCTATGATTAATTTTGGCAGGTGATTTGGCGTGGAAAAACATGAAAAAAAAATCTCCGAATAAAAAATTCATCCACATTTTTCGAATGATCAGAAAAGTATCTAGATTCTCAAAGTTTTTGATTGGATCTTCTTTTTTATTTGTGATTGGCTTACCTTATATCATGTTATCATTTTTTAGAACGGATTTTGTTATCTGTTAACTACACTGTGTGAACCCTTTAGTACGAGAACACGAAAATTTTACTAGAGACTTAACCTTCAACCCTCGGAAACAACGCGTCCAAAACTGCTGCAAAACAACTCAGTTTGTCATTTATGAACTGCAGAAGGTTTTGAACCTGTGATTCACGATTTTTTTAAGAAAGACAATGCATTTCATGTAACTTTGTTTTTAATAGATTGATTCATCACAAAATAGCACTTAAAAAGAGTTGACATCAGATGATAATTTAAGTCAATGGGGTTTTTCTCAGAAGAAAAAGGAAAGACAAATTTTGTTATCGGATATGAAAAACTCTTTAATTTAATTGAAAATTTTCACAGCTTGTTATGCGGTCTTTTGTTATGCAGCCCCTTCCACGGCTTTCTTAAATCTTTCAGAAAAGGATCCGACTTATGTGATACAATTTCATAGTTACAAAAAAAAAATTGTCATTGTTGCATTGAAAATTGCTACATTGAAAAAACTATGCGCTATTTCAAACTCAATCAATCTAATTTCCGAGCTATTCTTACAACAGTAATTTGGGAGGCATTCTTAAGTTTGGAAGACAGTCGGCAAGGCATTCCTAATTTGCATTTTTATAGCGTGCGCTTCAAATTGGTGAGAAAAACTCTAAAAACTTTTATGAAATGACAGTGAAGGTTTCGCTAAAAAAGCTGAGGACCAGTTAGCCGAAACTGAGTGTCGTGAAGTTGAACTAAGTGCCAGCCATTGGGTGGTGCACTATTTAAAACACTCACACAACTTATAAAACTTGCTTTAAACTAAGTTTTCAGTTCTTAAATGAAGTATAATTAAGCTGTTGTAGCTCGCGTGCTCGCTTTATTCGCTCAAAATTGAAATAAAATCAAAAAATTAAACCTATTTTTTCTTCGATACTATTTTCAATAGTTCGGGTTGGTTTACTTTATACCATGTTATCATTGCCAGAAAATTTTAAAACGGAAGCTTCTTTTATCTGTTAAGGTTAAGTACACTGTGCGAACTTTTCAGTACGACAGCTCTAAGAACTAAATGGAGACACACCCTTCAACGCTAAGAAACACCATCCAAAACTGTTGCAAAACAACTCAGTTTGTCATTTATGAATCGCAAAAGGCTTAGGACCTCTGATTCAGTAATTTTTTAAGAAAAAGAAAGTATTCCTTGTTTTTTTTAAAAAAATAATTTGATTTATCACAACAAAATAGCACTTAAAAAGAGATGACATCAAATGATAATTTAAGTCAATTGGTTTTTTCTCAAAAGAAAAAGGAAAGACAAATTTTGATATCGGATATGAAAAACTCTTTAATTTAATTATAAATTTCCACTACGTGTGATGCTGTCTTTTTTATGCAGCCCCTTCTACGTTTTTTTTTTCAATTCTGTCTAAAAAGTGGTTTGACTATCGTAATAAAATTGTACTGTTACAAAATGTTTCACAAATTTTCCTTGTTGTAATAAAAACTGCTACATTGAAAAAACTATTTTGCTATTCCAAGCTCAATCCATCTAATTTTCCAGCTATTCTCATTACACTAATTGGGAGGCATACTTAACTTTGGAAAGCAGTCTAAGTTTGGAACGCATTTTAAGTTTGCATTTTTATAGCGCGCGCTTCAAATTGGTGAGAAAAACACCAAAAACTTTTCTGTAATGACACTGAAGCGTAACTAAAAAAGCTGAGGACCAATTGGACGAAACTGAGTGTCGTAACTTTGAACTACGAGCATTCCATTGGGTGGTACACTTTTTAATTTCCCGAGCTCGCCCCTCAAAGCGAGCCCTTTGAAAATGTCCGGAGATTCAATTGAAATTGTCGGAAATTGATTATAAGTGGCAAAACTGATGCTACAATTGCATTGAGTATTTTCAATTAGAACTTCAAACACTTGAAATTAACGGTTTTAATAGAATAAGCAACTAACTAGTACTAAAACAATTAGGTATCATTAACTAAATCAATCAGATTATGATTTTTTATAGAACATGCTCAGAAAACATAATTTAAGCTTTTCACAGAGATGGTGAAATTTGCTCTGTTTGCTAGTGACTTACTGGTTTTACTCTTTTTAAATTGATTAAAAAGCAAAAAATCTTACCATGTTTATCTAGACACAGAAACAAAACAGTTTTTTTAATCGTAAAATTTGACTGAATCACGACTGAAAAAAAGTTTTTTATACGACTGAAAGCGTTTATTGGAATATCACACGAACCATCTGACGTGGTAAATGAGATTGCGAGGAAAAGTACAAGGTCGGAAGTTTTAGTCGTCGGAACAATAGCATAGCAAAACAATGTAGACAGGGGCGGATCTAGGATTTTCTCGAGGGGGGGATTTTCAAAAAATTTCAAAAATTTTGTCAACCCTTTTTTTAGGTCGACCAAGTTGATTTTCTGAGCTCTTCCATATCACTTTAAAGACCCCATTTGACCAAATTTTGTGCGCCGCAGCCAAATTTTTGAAAAACTAGGCCAAAAAAAGCCTTTCTGAAAAATCTGTTTAGAAAAAATTGCGTTCTTTCGGCGCGCGCTCCCCCCTCAAAATTTAAATAATTATCGGCGCCAAAGGCGCCTTAAGAAAAAATTTTGTGCCAGTCAGCCAAACATGGATAACTCAAAATAGTACAAAGGGGGATCTTTTGAGTCGGCAGGGGGTCGAGTCCCTGAAGGCGGGGGGGGGGGGGGGTGCGTCCGCCTCCCACACTTAAACCACTGGTGAATGTAGATAACCCTTTTAATCGTTTTATATCGATGATAAGCTGTAGTAAGGAGGCGTTTGTCGAAGTTCTTTAACTCTGCTTCCAACTATACTCAACGAAAAATATCCAAATAAGGACTAAATTTTAACGGTCTAGCATATAAAAAATTTGTACCTGGTAACAAATTATCCCCATCTGTTGCAATCGGGTCGAAATTGAATAAAAACATCGAATTTATTTCTGTTCAGGTGTAAACAGCACGAGTACCCAGTGGATTTGCCGGACACGAGTGTGATCATAGTGTTCCACAACGAGGCAGAGTGCACACTACTCCGCACAATCTACAGTGTCATCAACAGGACTCCCAGACACTTGCTGAAGGAGATCATCCTAGTCGACGACTTCAGCGAGGGCAGAGGTCAGGTCAACTGTTAACTTCAAAAAAATTTCGAACAATAATTTTTTTGAAACGTCGGAGATCATTTCAATAATGTTAAAATAATTTTTGTTGCAAAAACAGATATTTTGAATAGAAAAGTTGTCAATCATGCAGGGTTTCTAGAGCTTTTTTAGTTCGGGCTAATTGCAAATTAAGTTTTTTTGGAGCCTTGTTTGAGCTATAATTCAGGCTAATTGCAAACTGAACACAGTCGATTTCGTAGTCATGATTTTTTATCGTGGAAGCTTCAAATGTCATTTCTAGCCAATTTATATGCACGAAAAACGAACACTAACCGAAGACTTCCACCTTGTGTAAGATGCAAGAAAAAATAAGTTATAATAAAATTGCTCCAGAATACTTACACAGTCCCCTGGACGAGAAACTGGCGAAGCTACCTGTTCACGTGTTTGTGATTCGGCTTCCTAAGAGACAAGGTCTAATCAGGGCCAGACTGGCGGGTGCAGATGTGGCCAAGGGAAAGGTACTCACTTTTCTGGACAGTCACTGCGAGGCATCCAGGGGTTGGCTTGAACCACTACTGGCTGAAATTGCTCTAGACAGGTACTTTTTGTCATTAATAGTAGTTCAAACAAAAGCGAAAGTTCTCCATTATCCATTCAAAATAATAAATGATCAGTTCTAGATAAGAAGAAAAATATACATTTGTGAAGGAAAAAAGACTAAACACTCAAAAAATTATTCAAACTCGATTTTTTTTGGACCAGACTTTAAATTTTTTAAAATCAAGTCAAAATCAATTGCTTGTCAAGCTCTCCAAAATTGCAATTGGTAGTACCAGAAAAAAATTGTTTAAAATCAAGTTTCAAACAAAAATAGGGTTATAGACTTTATTTTCTTAGCTGATGTATATGTAGATATTTGGCTGCTTATTTTTTTTGTAAATATTTGAAAGAAACACGCACCTTTTTCTAGTTCATTGCTAACGCGTAGTGTGTGCGCGTGGAATCATTGCAATCTAAATAAACTTGGGGCAGTTTAACTGTTCCAAATATCTTGTTACTAGATGAAATAAACTCTGCGTGACATTTTGTGTGGGAGAAGTGCGGGAACATAGTTTTTTCTATAATTTTTTTGAAGATTTTTCCAAACAATATTTACTTCAGGTATCTGAAAGAGTAGAGAGACCATTCAGCTTTTTGCTTTGATACAAACAGCTTTGTTGTTCCGTTTTTCGATACGAAAGTAACGGAACACTTATGCTCGGGAGGGGTTTTTTTTTTCTTCAGACAAATTTCGACTTTTTAACTAGCCATTTTTGACGGAATTTTTTTTATATCATTCGAAAGCTGAGCTTAAATTTGAAAAGATATTTTACCTGTGATCATTTTTCGGTTTTGGGGATCATTAAGGTTTTGGGGGTTTAAAGATTGCCATTTTGGCCAATTTGGGACAATTAACGCGCGATATATTTCGCGCTATTAACGTGTAAGCGGAGACTTAATGCGTCTTAGAAACCGATCCAAATTGGTTGAAAGAAGCTTTTTTGCCATAATTGATTTGGTACAAGGAGTAAAATTTATTATTTTGTGCTTTATATGGCGTGTGGGGGATGATTTTCATACAAAAATCTTCAAATTTTAGAGAAAATTTTTTTTTTTCATTTTATTTCATTTCATTTATTTTTTTATGTCGTTTTTGTTATTACTGCTCTCTAAACGTTAAAAGGCAGTCGGAACTTTCAGGGCTTCGCCCTGATACGAGCAGTCTTGTTTTCTTTTGAATCTCAAGCGTCAATTTTTTTAAAATCTTTTTGATTGACTCGGTTGCTAGAATTTTTGTCGTTTTTCATAGAGGTCAATTGTTGAGATGGTATAAAAATACAGTTATAAAATTTGATAACCTTTAGCTAAAACATTAGAATGAAGGACTCAATTTCATCCTTTCGTTGCGTTATATTAGACGACCAATGCACGAAAGTTTCAAACCGTTTTTGACACCAAGAAATTTATCAAGATTCTTGCACTGTTGCTCGAAAGGTTTGAATATTTTATAGAAATTGATTCTATCTTACGTGTTTACTAATTTTGCGTGTAAAAAACCCGAACCCGAACCCCAAAACTTCTCCCGCTATAGTAGCTTTAATCGCATTAATTTTGAAAAAATTGAATTCCAAGTACAGGGCTTGATCTTTTATTTACAAATCAAACCTTGCTAAATTCTTTCAAATGAAGCAAATCTTACAAAAAAAGTTGCAACATTTTGTATTGTTTATTTTTGTTTTTCAGAAAGCAAACCCTAGCAGGAATATTTTTTAGTAAAAAAAAATAACTCGGAAACCGCATAGATTTGCTTTTAGCAAAAACAATTCTAGACTATAAACAAGCTGGCTTAAAGTAGTTTTTTAGGACGACAGTGATGACTCCGGTGATAGGCAACATAAACCTAAACACCTTCAACTATGCTAGCATGGGCACTGGCCTGTTGCAGGTGGGGGGTTTCGAGTGGAGTCTCACCTTCAACTGGTTCCCCATGCCAGAGAGGGAGAAGCGGAGAATAGCTGGCGACAACAGTTTATCCATTGAGTACGAATGAAACTTTTAAGCCAGCCGAAGAAATTTAAGCTAGCTATAGGGTCTTTTTTGTCGTACCACCCAAAACAGATGTTTCTTTTACTTTGAAAGTTTGTTCATAATGCTCTAATCTGATTGGCTAAAATTACCTCCAACAAAAGAAAATGTGAACAGGTCTGCCCAAGTTTTTCACGGACGAAAAATCAACTCTTCGACTGAAGCCCCCCCCCCCCAAAAAAAAGCTATGGATAGATTCATTGAAGAATTTATTAGGAGGCTGGGCTGGTGGGTCGACAGTAGAAAAGCCGAATGATCAGAGGATTTATAGAACTAAGCTTGCTCTGTGTTTCTTCCCGTCCAGATCGCCCACAATGGCAGGTGGCCTGTTCTCCATAGACAAGTCATACTTTGAGGAGCTGGGAAGATACGATGATGGCATGGATGTGTGGGGAGCAGAGAATGTCGAAATATCATTCAGGGTGAATCTCAATTTTGCTATAAAACATTAATTTTATCCGGGATACAACAACTCATTTTTATTTCGCAAAGGTTTTTCGTAGTTATCGCGAAAGAGTTTGACAGCAACATTCCTACAAGAGCCGCCTTTCTGATGCAATAATCTTAAAAACTTCTGCATTTTAACCTGTTGGAATCAAGTTTAATAATAATGTCCCCCCTTTGATACTTTTTCAGAAATCCATTTTTGGCCGACCGACCCTAAAATTTTTCTAAAGGCGCCTTTGGCGCCAATATATACTAACTTTGAGGGGGAGCGCGCGCCAAAAAAACGCGATTTTTTTTACCAAAATTTTTCAAAAAGTGCCCAAAAACGGTTTTTTTACTGTTTTTTCAAAATTTGCCTGCGGCGCAGATAATTTTGCGAAAATAGGGGCAAAACAGTGCCTTGGGAGAGCTCGAAAAATCAATTTGGTCGACCTAAAAAAAAAAAAGGTCGTCAAAATTTTCCCCCTCGAGAAAAAGAGAAAAACCTACATCCGCCCCTGCCTGTCCATTTGTATTATCTCCTCACATTCCAGACTGTGTTATTTTGCTGAGCGAAGCTGTTTTTTTGCGACTCAAGGCCGTTTTTTTGCGTCTAGAACTTTTACGTGGTACCACTATTGCAGCCAAATTTGGTCAGGTTGTGGTAGACCCTGAATCTAGAGGTCAAGTGAGAGATCGTCCTCACACACTATCATTGCCATGGCATGGGATCGAATACGCGATCTGACGGTTTCAAATTGAACGCTTTACGACTATGCTAAGTGCCTCTAATGCTAAATGCCTCGATTTTAAAAATAATGCCTTGATTTTTGTAATCCAGTTTTTGTCACAAAATTTTTCGATTGGTGTAGGTTAAACAAAAAACCCCAGTTCTTGTTTAGATTTGGCAATGCGGAGGTCGCATCAAGATCTCTCCTTGTTCACATGTTGGTCACGTGTTCCGAAATGCCTCGCCCTACTCGTGGCCAGGGGGCGTGGCCAGCATCCTGAACAGGAACAACAGACGCCTGGCCGAAGTGTGGATGGATGAATATAGGTTCTTCTGGATGTATGTGGTCCCAGGTAAGCCAACTGATCTTCAACTATCGCGATATCGATACCTCCATTGAAGCAAAGCAGTACTTTATTCTAAAAGCCACAAAAATCACTAACCAGGATCAGTTTTAGCACAGGATGCTATTAATTAAGAAAAGAGCCCTTTAAACGAATCTCATTCTGAAAGCTCATTTAGAATTTTGCTCGCCTCAGAAATTTTGAGTTTGATGAAAAATAGGGCTCCCTAAAAACCTATAATGAGATCGAGTTTTGGTTTTCTCACTCTGAAATGAAAACAGCAAAGATATCCATAGTTCAAATTGTGAATGATATTCATAGATTATGGCTTTTTTTAAATGTAGAAGTGAGATTATTCGGATGAGGGAGGTGGGGGGGGGAGGTGTACTAGAGCTTGTGTGGATTTTTCAAGCAAACTAGGTGCCGAGAAAAATGCTCATAAGCCATCGACTATATAATTTTAAATTCTTTTCAGTAGTTAGTTGAAAGTTATCTTTCCGTCTAAATTGTAAGTAAGAGCCCTCAAAAAGAATCAAAAAACTTCTAAGTATTGAAAAAACTAGTCTGAAGTTTTGCTATTCTGACTCAATTTTCAACTTAGCGAAGAGCGGGTGAAAAAAATCCATTTACAAAACGAAATTTTTATAATTTCTACTTTTGAACAAAAAATGGTTGGACACATTTTATTTCAAAAATATATTTTCATACGTTTGCGGAATAGTTGTTCCGACTTTCGATACGAAAGTAACGGAATATTTGTGCCCGGGGTGGGTTTTTTTTCTTCAGACTAATTTCGACTTTTTAACTAGCCATTTTTGACGGAATTTTTTCATATCATTCGAAAGCTATTGTTGTCCTGAGCTTAAATTTGGAAAGATATTTTACCTGTGATCATTTTTCGGTTTTGGGGATCATTAAGGTTTTGGGGGTTTAAAGATTGCCATTTTGGCCAATTTGGGACAATTAACGCGCGATGTATTTCGCGCTATTAACGCGTAAGCGGAGAGTTAATCCGTCTTAGAAATCGTTCCAAATTGGTTGAAAGAAGCCTATTTGTCATTACTGGTTTGTTACAAGGAGCAAATTAGATTCTTTTGTACTGTATATGGCGTGTGGGGTGATGGTTTTCATAAAAAAATTTTAAAGAAATGTTTCATTTTTTTTAAATTTCGTATATTTTCTAAATTTTATTACTGCTCCATACACCTTAAAAGGCAGTCGGAACATTCAGGGCTTTGCCCTGATACGAGCACTCTTGTTATAATTAAAAAACTCCTACTTATAAGTTTTAAAAAATGAACCGTATCCGCCAAGGCGATTCCTATTTACTTTCAGAAACAAAACACATTGACTTTGGAGACGTCTCGGATAGACAAGCCCTGCGAGCCAAACTGCAGTGCAAGAGCTTCCAATGGTATTTGGACAATGTCTGGCCTGAGTCTGGATTCACTCTCCGTGTATACAACCTGGGTTATGTAAGAGTTTTCCAAAGTTTATCGAATATCCTCCCTAAAGAAATAAATCAACGGTTAAGCATATGAGATTTGCAAAAAGGGGGAATATAATTGAAGAAATCCGTGTTCAGGTTGGGTGCTTATCACTGTGGGTGTGGCAGTACAAAAGTGCCAAAAAAAAGTTAAATGTTGTTCAACAATACAGAAAATTATTTTACATATTGTTTTTAATCATCCCAAATCACTGACAAGTAAATAAATTCAAATCGACAGAAGTTGAAAAGACACAACTTGCCATTTTAATTGATTTCGCTTGCTAAACAAACAAACATTCCGCAGTTCCCCGCGTGGCGCCACAAACATTTCTGAACAAACAATTAACTCAGCAAATTGAGTTTCTTCTCGGTTTCGCTACAAAACATAATAGTATTCACGCAAAATTGCAAGCAATTCTTAAACAGAACTCAAAGTTTTGAAATATCGTCAATTTTTGGCACTATTGAACACATTTTTTGTTGTACTCCGGCATGTTTAACGCCCCCTGTGAAATTTCCGAAAAAAATTCTTACATGTTTTTGGAGCTTTTTAGGCCAATCAAAATTATTTTCCGAGCTTCTCCAATACACTACTAAGATTCTATTTCAAAATAAATGTCTGAAGCCGGAAAAATTTTGAGAAACCGACCAAAAATGACGCTAGTATTTGAGACCATATGATGACGTTTCGCCACAATTACTATATTTTAGCGGCAAAGGCGCTTTTTAGAGTAGTTTTCCTAGGGTTGCTTAGAGTAATTTTTCTAAAATGGAAAACGATTGAGTGGTATCAAAGACACTTTGCTCGATCAGAGGGTCAAATCCCTGAGAGGTAAAAGGGTGGACGCCCCCTTCTCCTATTCAAACCGCCCCTGCTTTCGTCTGACACAAAAAAACTGTTTAACTTATTCGTTTTTTTTCGGGTTTCTGTGATCTGAGTGTAATTATTTGGTATTTGAAAAAATCAACCGTAGAAACTTAGATTAAACAATTCAACTGCATGTCTTTGATAGTTGGTCCATAGCTGCTGAACTGTGCCATACTTAATGCAACGAACCATTGTCACTTTTAAAAGTGAACAGAACTATTTTGTATTTTGTATGTTTGAATCTAGATCAAAAACCCAGCAACGAGTCTATGTGTGGACACAATGGGACATAAGGCTGAGAAACCAGCAGGAGTTTCTGGCTGTCACTACAAGGGTGGACACCAAGTACATTTTTATAGTATTTTTACAGCATTTTCTTAACTCATTTTTGCAAAATCGATCTTTACGCCATCACAATTTTGCTCAAAATCAGCAGCTGAATTGATTAGAAACTCCTGTATAGAGTATCTTTCTAAAAGAATTAGTAGAAAAACAAAAAGCTTAAGCTTTAAGAAATATTTTTCCCCCTTACTTTTAAGACTTTAAGCTGTTAGCTTTTTACTAATTCTGAGGGAAAGATACTCTCTATACAGGAATCCGCATTCAATTTAATCATTCGCCGTGATGAGCGGTACAGCTCGAATGTTGGTCTTTTCCCTCGTGGATAAATGGTCTTAACGAGAATGAAGCGACCTATATGACCTACAGAGTTGACCTTTGGCCTGTGAAATGAGCAAAGCCTTGTGGTCAATTCTCAAAATGAACAGACTTCTTGCAAATGAAGCGACTGATGTTTTGATTGTAACAAGGAAAAACAACAGTATTTTATCAGCACTCCTTAACATCAAGAAAAATCATGCATCTCTACTTAGGTGTTTGCATTCACCCGACGTCACGAGATCCGAAAGGACAACTTGTGTCTAGACGGTGACAGCACTAACAAGAAACACAATGTGCTTCTCTGGCCATGTCATCTGCAGGGGGGCAACCAGTATTGGATATACGACGAAAAGGTACAAGGCAGATATAGTAACCTATACATACGATGAAAGAAAGACGTTTGAGTGTCTGGTGCAAGTGTATGCTGGGTGTGTGTGTGTGTGTGTGTGTGTGTGTGTGTGCGTGTGACCGCACTCTTAGAAAAATAATTGCACGAAGGTGAAAACTTACATTCAAATGAACATAAAATGAGACGTGCTATGGGGCGATTTGATTCCTTAAGTTGTGTCCAACTTTTTTGAAAAAGGACGAAAAAGGATAGAAAAAGGAGTTACGTGACATCTGCGTTTTTTTTGCAGTTCATTTCCATTAGATGCTTAAAATTGTGCATGTGAAATTTTTATAGAAATTATGTCTGTTTTCAGTAAAAAATTTTCGAGGGTTGCTAATTAGAGGACAACTTGTGAAAAATTTATTGACAATTTAAAAAAATATATTTTGAATTGGACAATCGTTTCATATGTTCGTTAGGGCGCAAAAAATCTTTAAGAAATGATGTAAAATTTCTATTTAAGATACGAAAAAATTCGTCTTTTTTTATACAAAAAAAATCTATCGCAGACAAACAAAATAGTCTGAGCTTTTGAGTTTACACTTACAAAAATTACAGCTTAAATGTAAATTGTTAGAAATCTCTGTGGTTTCAATCTTTTGATTTGATGGTACAGAACTTCAATGAAGCGACAGAAAAAGACACTTTATCTAAATGATTGACATTGAGTTTTTTGGCCGACCGAAAAGCTATTGCCAGAATTAAATTTTAAAATGAAAAAGATTGGCACCCAAAAGCTTTCTTTTTTGGCAATTTTTCACGACACCAAGTTTTGTCTGACCGAACTTTTTTCAATAAACGCTCTATAGGCCTTAATATCTACTAAATTTGCGGAGATAGAGCACACTGAAAGCAATTTTGTCCAAAACCTATTTTAAATCCACAAAAAGATGTTACCCAAACAATGTTGAAAATATTTGCCCCCCCCCCTCCTTTCAAGATGAACGTGCACTCGAATAAAATATTATACTTGCTATTTTTCCATTTTTAGGAAACGAAACAGATTGTTCACAAGACATCTGCAATGTGTTTGACTGTCGGACAGGACAGAAGATCCCTCAACTTGGAGCACTGCGATCCTTTGAATGCGAAGCAGATCTGGACGATGAGTAATGTCGAGGAGTTGTCCGGATTCATCAAAGAGTTATACGGCAAAGATCAAAGACAATGAATAAAAATTGTATATCACTTTTTAAAATGTCCATTAACCTCATATTAAGTGTTCATATATCAAATATGGTTTCTGATTTAATTTATCAAATTTATGGTAAAAAATGGTCAAAAAAATTTTGCCATGTGAATGGTTGTACGATATGAAATGCATTATTACGTGAAAACAAAAAAAATTGTAGCCAGGACATAAATGTTTCCTGTCTGGTTGTAACTTGGTTAAAAATTTGGAGAATTCAAATTGAAAAAAAAATGGTCGTTGTGCTAGCAGCCTAAAATTTTACTTCGCCAGTAATTGTTGCTCAAACAATCAAACATTTTTCACCCAAAATTTTTAGCATTGAAACGGCTATTTTATTCTTTTTTTTGGAAATTTGGAAGCAGAAATTTTAAACTAAGTTTTCTCGAAACTGGCAAAAATGCAGAAAGAAGAAATGTTTTACCGCAGTTTGAATTACAGAGAAAATGCTTCATTTAAACGACGTCAAAAATATATGTGGGAAACTAAGAAGTATAATAATAATTGTCGTTCCTGCGATTCGCAGAGGATCTACCAAAGGCTTTGCAGCTTGTCTAAGCATACTGAAGTTCTCCTATTTCCTCACATTCCTGACTGAGTTAATTTGTTGAGCCAAGCTCTTTTTTTGCGACTCAAGGTCGTTTTTTTTTGCGTCTAGAACTATCACGTGGTACCACTATTGCAGCCGAAATTGGTCAGGCTGTGGTAGACCTGAGGCTGGAGGTCAAGTGAGAGTTCGTTCTCAAACACTATCATTGCCGTGGCAGGGGATCGATTACACGATCTTACGATCACAAAGTGAACGCCTTACCACTATGCTTTACCACGCATTACCACTATAACGTTGACGATGACGTTGAGATTGAGAAACAGTCTTTTGACGTTGAGGTTGCGAAACAGTCGGTTGATTTTCAACAAATAAGCATGAATTTGAACTGAAATTTGAATTTTTTCTGAAGACCTTTAAAGATTGAAAAGTTTAGTTTGTTTAAAGCTTTGCTTATATTTTTTTGTAAACGAACATTCAAGAAGCTATGGCACCAATCGTGGACGACACCATGGATGCCGTCCTTAGTGACCAGCAAGGAGGGGTATCCGTGAGTACAAATCGAGTTGAGGGGGATAAAATAGTTGATGTATTAAACGAGGTTGTTAAACCAAGAGCCCTGACTGAGGAACAACAAAAACGGATTGAACTTCTACAGAAAAAGCAAAAAACAAACATGGATGATTGTCCAAGACCCAAAAACGGTGTACTAGCAAAAACTGTGTAGTTATTCTAAGCCCGTTGTTTGATGCTAAGAGAGTTTCAGACGCCTCTGAGGAAACACTGCGAATTTTTGGTAGTTTTTGAGAATAACGCTGAAACACAAAAAATAAAAGCATGCCAAGTACTACCAATAAACACTCATGGTATCTTTCTGAGTGTGATAAGCAAATTTTAGAATTTTTCGGACAAAGATAGAGTATTTCACGCGAGACGAATTCTGCGAAATAAAAAAACCCAATAAAAAATGTGTTTTAACGACTTCCTGCAACGGAAGCCGAAATAAGAGCACAGGCGGCGAAACGTGCAATGAGGACGGTTACCAATAACTGCGTTGTATCAGTGGCCATCAATGACACTAAAAATAAACGAAAATTTGTTAAAGTCAACTATATAAATGACCAAGATAAACTGAAAAAAACCTGTTTTTTTTAAAGAGAAGATATTATGAAAGACGAACTCGGCAGGAACTGATTTGAAACTATGCAAAATTTTTTTTTCGTCGAATTCGTAACGTACTTGAAACTTAATAACCATTAGCACCTATTGAAAAAGAACCCAAACTGCTAGGCTTCGATTTCTTTTTTTGTTTTTTTTTTATAATACACCAGAAAGAAAATCTGCGTTTTTTTGGTTTTAGTTTGCAAAGCGAATAGCGTTTTTTTTATTTTAGGTGACTAAATTGAACATAGGAAGAGCAGTTTTTTCAGCCTTCCTGTGACTACGCAGGGCGTTCTGGCTCGCTGTGATTTGCAGCTTTAGAGCCAGAGCAGGGGTTCTTGAAATCACTGATACGATGCATCCTTGTGATTGTGCAAGGAAAGTGCTTCGTAAAAACAAATTAACAAAGAAAAAAATCTTAAAGGTAAATTTTGCATAGTAGCAACCTGCAGCATAAGGTTACTTCAAAAATTAGTGGTACAACAAAATAATTATTGAAAAATTGAACTTTAGGGCAGAATACAAACTGGGTCAAGCGAAGATAGCTCTACTTAATTTTTATATCAAATCATGCAGGCTAGGAGAAACAAAAAATACCAAAAATATTGTTTTACTTCAAATTATTCGCTCTATTAGAAAAAAGTCGATGAGTTGCAGGTTCAGATTGAACAACTCCATGAATATGTGCAACGGAAACATGTTTGAAACTGGAGTATCTTAAATTATTGTGCTTATTAGAAGGATACAAAAAACATCGAGAGTAGTGATAGGAAGAAAATGGGCGGAGGTGTAGGTATCTTCGTGCGTGAGATTTAGTGTTGACCCAAGATCTTATCAAATTGTATGCGAGACTTCAATTTAGTAAGTATGAATAGCCCAAAAAAATGGAATTAATTTAGTAGCTAATTGATGGAGATTGAACTTTTCTGCATGAAAACCAAAGAAGCTACAAGGGTAAAAATGAAGTCAAAACAAGCATAAATTTGTTTTTTTTTTAAGTCACAAAGGCAGCAGTACGGCAAGGAAAACATCGATTTCAGATCATTTTTTGGTTAATCATCATTTAAATGTGGCAAGTGAAAAAATTCAAACTGAAAAAACTTATAGCAAAATGGAAAAAAGATTTTTATCAGAACAAACTGCAGACGCAAGCCGCAAAAAAAAACGAATTTTTTCAACTGTTTAACAATCTCACTGGGACTGCTAAAAATAAGCGATTTAACATAGAGAACACTATCTCAGATGCAGATTCATTCAACAACTATTTTGCTGACAATGGCAAAAAATTAGCAAATGCTTTCCATAATCCACACAACAGACAAAACAGCAAAAAAGATATTGAAAAATCAATACTTTTGAGACCAGTGAAAAGCTATGAAAATAAACAAATCTTGGAAAGTTTGAAATTGAAATTCAGCCTGGGTTGCCACAACATCAATCATGCTTTCATTCTTTCAATAAGAGAACAACTTGAGCCCGTCCTCAAGAAGTGTTTTGACAACGACATTTTCCGAACTAAAAAAATGCAAAAAAGATATCTACACTGAAAGAGGCAAATGAACCCGAACTTTCCGGTTTTGGACCAATATTACTCTTACCTGTCTTTGAAAAAATACTAGAACGATTTTTATACAATAGAACTTTACATTATGTTAATCACCAAAACATATTGGATCAATCTCAGTTCGGATTTAGACAGAAGTACTGTTGCTTTTGGAACAAGTTTGATTTGATTGGAACAACCCAACTTTTGAAATTCAGTGTACTTTTGTTGAATTAGGAAAAGTTTTTATTATGTTGATCACAAGCTTCTGTTAAACAAATGTTGTGATTACAGTATAAGACGAACAGCATATGACATTCTAGTTACATTTTTATTAGAACGTAATCAGTTTGTTAGCATCAACAGACCAAATCGCAAAGTGAAAAAATAAAAGACGGAGTAACGCAAGGCTCAATCCTAGGACCTCTACTTTTCATTTAGTTTATTAATGGTAAACCAAAATTCAATGCAATTACAAATGTTTATCGCTATGCCGATGATAAAGCCATTAAAACTCAGACTGAAAAATCAATAGTGATTGAAGACCATGAAAATGCATTGACAAAAGCAAAGGAATGGGTCGACGAAAGCAAGCTGACTTTGAACTTATATAAAAATAAAACAGTTAAGTTCACAAACCGGAATGGCAAAAAATCAACCACTCAATTAAAATGAATAACAAAGACATAGAACAAAAACCCTTTTCAAAAATTTGAATTTGTATCTCGTTAAAAAACTGAAACTCATAGATCACATTGATATTTTTAGTACTAATTTTAATTAAATCTGAGAATTCGTATATCAATTGCATAAAATTTTGAATAAAATGTAACTGAACCAGTTTTACCAAACATACATTAAACCTGTTGTTCAATATTGCTTGTTGAAATACGGGTCCAAATCAAACCTTGACAAGATTGATCTCAACACTAACAGATTAATTAGATTCTTAACTTTCGAGAAAAAAATCGAATCAATATATATGCATTTCGCGTAAAAAAAAATTATATTACGTAAAAGTGCTTCAATTATACTTAAAACCTCTCTGTGAAATTATTTGCGGTGAACGTAAATTGGTGACTCGCGGTGAACGTGAACGTTGAACGTGAAATTAGTTATTCGCGGTGAACGTGAAATTAGTTATCAACTCTGAGAAACACCATAACTTTTCAATTGCTAGTAAAACACGAAAACTCTACAATTGTTTCTCAAACTTTTTCCCGATTTTTTGATATGATTAGCAAAATGAACGGAATAGAATTAACAACTTTCTCCATAAGTTTGTAGAGACCACAATAATAGGAATGAAAAAGTTAATAAAATTAATAAATGTTTAAATCTCACCAAAATTTTCTTATTTAATTTTTCAAATTTCTAACTAAAAGTTTTCTTTCTATTTTCTTAGAAAACTTTCATTCTATACTACTGTAACAAAAAAAACGGTGGTATTACACCACCTCCGAATTAAAATTTGTCTTTTTTTTGCGCTCTGATGTTAGGAAATAGTTTGGAGAAGGCAAGCCTGCGCCCTCTACGTGGTTCTATTATAATTTCACTTGGTTATAATTCAGACAAAAACTTGCATTACAAAAAACCAGTTTCACGCAAAAATTGTTTGCAATCGGACAAACTAGAAAAGGTGGGGGAAGGAAAGATAGGCAAACGAAGATGTGAAGAGAGACTGTAACTAATAGTACAAGCTCGCAGAGACGTCTGAAAACAGGCATAAATTGTCTAATGACGATCTCCCAGATTGGGGTCTGTCAAGTGGTCATTTATATAAAATTTATTGATCAATGTGAATCTATACTGGAAACAATATATTGTTATTATAAGAAAAGTTTTGCAGATGTACAAAAATGATAACCATAATAATAATTATTATCATGAAAATCATTGTTAGCATAACCATAATAATCATAATCATAATATTCGAAACAATAATCATTAAAAAAAATAAAAAGCATCATAATCATAACAAAAATAATCCTAATAACCATAATAACAATCAAAATAAACATAATCAAATTAATAGTACTAAGGATTTAAGTAACAACTCCGGCAACCCTTTTTGAGAAAAGGAGAGAGGTTGTTACATCGATTAAGTTGGTTAATTTTTGCCCAATCAGAATGCAGGAAAATTCGATTTCTCAACAGAATGCTAATTTACTTTATTTATTTAAACGGATGGAGATTCTCTAGTAAATAATATTGTCGGGAGGGGGTAAGAATATTAAGAAGATCCAATGATGTTAATAATTCTAATACTAACAATCATAATAATCTTAATCATAATGATAAGGATAATGATAATGCAAATAAATGTTAATAATAAAAATGGAAAGTCTGAGGGAACACAGCGTAAAATGTTACATAAAACAGAATGGAAACTAGCAAAAAAAGGGGAAACAATTATAGAAAATCTTTTCTGTCTCGCGTGTCATTTTACACTACTGGGCATAATTGAGCGCAAATTTTTGTTTTTGTCTTTCAAATACCTGTTTTCAAGGATGATTTTGGTTAATTTTCATGTTGAAATCAATCAAAATCTTTACAAAGACCAAGATCAAAGTATCAGAGCTACCCTCTATGACACTATTATTGACTTACCAATGTAATCCGGGTCTGAAAACGCCAATTTTTCTCATCAGCCTTAAATTTTTTGGCGCGACGTGAAACCTTCTCAGCGAGAAATTTGAAACAAATAAAGAGGAAATTTCACTAACAACGGCTTTTTCTTACTTTTTCACGCGAAGTAGAAATACTCAGTGCGGATAACGAAAACTGGCTTTTTCAGACCCAAAAATAATCGTAAGTGCTTCAAATTAAAAATTGAGACTTTCAGAGAGGGTACTTTAGATATTTTGCATCGGTAAATATAACTTTTTTGAAAAATTCAAAGTAAATATTGTCTAAAATGGTCCTTCAATTAGGCTTTTCAGAGAATAAAAACTTGACCTTGCATTTAAGTTTGTCGACTGGTGTAAAACAATGAAATCATTTTGTCGTGTTTAAAATGCATATGCTTTCAAAAAAATATTGGATTGTGGCCTCAAGCGTGCACTATTAAGACGTAAGAATCACCAAAATTGTGATCAAATTCTAGTTACGAAAGTTGAATTTAGTTTTCAGGTTTCACAGCAAAACAAAATTTCACTTAACTATTCAGTTTTTCAAATTGAGTTAACTTTGATTAAAACAAAATTTTAATCATCAGATTTTCTTGAAATTCAAAAACCTTCAAGACCACATGTATTTTTTAAATAGACAATAAAAGTTTTTCAAAACACAGTCTAATTTTTTTTGGTTTCATTGTCTTTTGTCCGGCTGTTTGTTGGCTATGTTCAACTGAAAGTAAATGACGTTTTAAATAAACTCTGACGTTAATTGGTCCTTTGTGAATTGTGAGCGGGTTCCGCAGAAGACCCTCTCTTCGATCTTTCTTCTGATTCTTTTGATCTCTGAACAAAGTTTAAGCATAATTGGAGACTCTTCTCTGGATTCTAGTGACCTACACACATCAAACGATGCGCGTATCCAGAGCACAGCTTGAAATCATAACGGTTTTATCAGCAAAAATTACAAAATCAAAGCTTATTTTCGACCAATATGCTCAGTTCAGTAAAGGTATCTGTTTTGGCCAGTTTTTCAAATCTAAAACGGTTGGATGGAAAACAGAAGTTAAATCTTGTAATACAAAATTGCATAGATTTTTCTTCAAAACTTTCTGTTTCATATTTTATGAGAAGCTAAAGCAATTTGTTCTACAATAACTCAAAATAATTATTTTTCAATTTTTTCGTCAGTTTGTCCGCATGAACCGCATAAATACAAAATCGAATGCGGTCGGTTTCTACAATTTCTCTGCATCATTGCAATTGGGCTTCTTGAGCTAATTATGGGCTCTGGTTTAAGCCCTGATACCAAATTCAACTTAAAATCAACACAATTTCGAGTTTGATTTGCAAAAATTTATCTTATTAGGGGTATCATAAAAACGGATCAAATGCAAACCAATTTTGACCATTTTTGTTATATCAAAATAAAATCATTTATGACTTGAACGCAAAAATACGAAAAATATCGGTTTTTGTTTCGTAAATTTGTAAATTTATGGCAAATTGAAAAAAACCACTCGGAATATTTGTGGTAGCCTACTTGATTATATTTCTATTATATCCAATTCTGAAATTAGGCTTCAAGTAAATAGATTGGGAGGAAAATAGGTTGGGAGGAAAGTATTAGAGCTGAAGATCAGCGTTATGTAGCTGCATTATTTAGCTGCGTGTAATTTTGGCTTCTCTAATCGAGCTACAGATATCAAATAAAAATAGTTTTTTGGAAATTCGAACTTGAAAAGAAATCTAAATATTTTGAGGGGCTAGCGCATGCCAAAAAACGCAATTTTCAGACAAAAACTTTAAAAAGTCATTTTATGGCTGACCAGTCCTTCTTTTTTGTAAATTTACCTGTGACGCGATATTATTATACTTGATGGGAAAGCGCGCGCCAAAATAAAAGCTCCGCCTATTCGGTCAAAAGTTTCTGCTTGCGACAATGCTTCTATCAAAATTGTTTTTTGTTTTCTTCTCTGAGAAAAAAATGACTCTTTAGAAAATTTGGACGGGGTTTGTTTTTTTTTAGAAATTATCTCCAGCTTTGTTTTGTTTTTCTGAAGCTCCTGTTTGGGTTTTTTCACATGGGCAGTGTTTTTTGGAAAAAATTTTCCAGCTTATTTTCATAAGGCGGAGTTTATTTCGAGCTTCATTTTTAGGCCTTTACGACCCGTAGTTTTTAGATTAAAATAGTTCAATGATTCGATGAAATATTTTTCCGTTTTTTCTGAAGTTTTTAAACAAAATTTAGCGTTGTTGGCTCGCGCTTCCCGGGTTGCCAACAAATCTTAGTCGTACAATTTTCGTTAAGGGAAGAAAGATTATCATACAATTAAATACCCTTCCATGGAAAAATGATAAAGATGGCATGACTAGCTTTTTCCCATGATTAGAAATTGTATGACAAGCAGTTTTCACATGCAAAAAACATGAATTGTTGACAAACCTAGGACTCTCAATCAGGAAATAAAACGGCAAAAAGTTTATTCAAAATTACATAAAAACGAATTTAAAGGCTGTCTGAATTTTTGTTTGTGGAAAATGTTTATTAAACAGTTTTTATCAATAGAATTTGTTTGATTGAGCATTTATTTTAATAGACTGCAATAATGGAATTGTATGATACGCATTTTTGGAATAGTATTGAGGCTATTGGAAAAATATCAGGGTTTGTCGGCTTTGTTAGCGACCTGAACAAAAACAAAATTTGAAAGCAATTGTGTAATTACGAAACAATTAAGAAACTGAATCAACCTTCAAAAGATTTTCGCTCCTATCGATCTTTGAAGAACGACTGGCGCTGCTTTCGGTTATTTTTTGCTGCTTCGCTTCTTTGATTTGTTCCATCGTCAAAATAAAAGCTCTATAAATAGCTCATCCGTTAAATTGGGTTCAATTCATTTGAAAATGGGTTCTTTCAAACTGCAAATGGCGTTTTTTTTCGTCACAACGGACGCAAGCGATGATAGAATTTGAAGCAAACCTTCTTCAAAGTTATATTACGCCATTCTGTGAGGTGAATTTTGCTATATTTTCCACGTTTGTTTCCTGTTTCTAGTTTCTCTTAAATTTACATGGTTAAACTTAATCCATTTCCAACCTTCTAGTTTTTTTGCCATTATAGTACAAAACCGCCACTATTTAGAATACGTTTTTAGACCGCATAACTTACCTTACATTCCATTACCAATTTGTTTAAAATTACAGTTAATGGTATGATTCTTTTCGAATACTGAAGTTTTTCCCAGCAGTTAGGAAGATTTTAGTTTATTTGGCAAAGAGTGTCAAAAATTATGAGGGCTACAGCAAAAACTTATCAATGAACTTAATGGTTGAACTCAATTTTTGGCTAGAAAATATGTGGGTGTCTTTTTTTCTCCAGAAGGCAACAGGTTAAAAACTCTCGCATTCTATTTCCGCTCGCAAACGTATAGAGCTTTTTTATCTGCTTCCTCTACAAAAAGATGTTCGACAATTAAAATAGCTTTTCAGTCAATGTAAAGCAACGTTCTATTGTTTTAGAAGGAGAAAAACTCACTAACGAAGCCCCGCGCTTTATTTTTCCCAATTATTCTTCAAGTATGCGGTATGAATTTATTTTTGAATAAATTCGCCATTTTATATATTCAAATGTAAATAAAAAAACGACATCGAAAAATAAGTCAATTTCTGTTTTTACTAATAATGTGCTTTGAATTATAAATTTTTGGGACCTGTGGAGAAATGTCGACGCTAAACAGGGTAAAGGAAAGTGCCTCAATAGAATCCAACGAAGAAGACGACAACTTACCCAGCGATATTCGGCCGTATGCAGTCGACAACACGGGTAACCGATGGTCGGTTGAGGGCCCAATTGAGCCGACGAGTTATTTTACCAATGCACTCGACCAGTTTGGTCTGTACCAATCACTACAAGCTTTCGAGGAAACAATTCTACAACTGAAGAGAATTGATTCGGATGGTCGTATGCTGTGTTCGGATTTATACGATGACGTAACGCAGGAAAACTTGGACACAATGTCCCTCTCGGATTTTTCCGATGTCCGATCCGAGTTGAAACCCGAGCACAGATGGCTGAATCGGTCTCTTTCCTTCACGAGTATGGAGATATCGCCTTACGAGCAATTCGAAAAAGAGACGGGGAAAGATTTTTTGAAAACAATTGTGGAAAAATCAGGTTATCCCTTTTTTCAGCTTACTAGCTCACAAAAAACGGCTTGAAAAAATTTAAAACGGCTTAAAGAAAAACAGCGACTGTAGCTCAATTGTGATCATGAATATTTTTGTCACATTTGTCTTTGAATATAAGATAAGAGAAAATTCATTTTCTCTCCAAATTTTGAAATTAATTTTTGGGGCCCCAGCAAGAGGAGGTTTAGTATTATTTTTTACTATTCGTGAGTGAAAACGTTCTTAATACCCTGAAAAGGTACTTTCATTTCTAATTAACAGGTGAAAAAATTTAATTAAAATGAACTATTTTATAAAGGTCATTTATTTCAAAGATTTCAAGCGCCTTAAAGTGTTCAACCAGAAATCGTCTCCAAGCAAAACAAAGGATTCACGAGTCTGTTGAAAAATTATATTGGCCTGTAAACTTAGGCACATGAGGAAATTCAAATTACTTAAAAGTTCTTTAAACTTTATCAAGAGTGTAAATTTCAGCTTGTTGCAAAAAATCACGGATTGAAAGATCAGCCGACACCTCTTCGTCATTCGGAGAGTCGAGTGGCTACAGCTCCTTCAGCGAGTTCAAATCTCTACCTCAGTCTCAGTCGGTTCTAGCCGACCCCCAGGGTACCCAGAATCTACCTTCTCTCTTCCTCCAATGGGAGCCTTCTTGCAAAGTCCTAAGACAGAGACGTGTCTCATTCGTCCGAATTCGGAAGCCGACATCACAGTCGAGCCGCCGAGACGTCACAACACCTGTGCATGAGCGTGAAATAAAAAATAACGAGCAGTTTTCCGCAAGCAACGATGAAATTTCGACTTGTGACGTCACGATAACCGAGGATGACGTGTTCGTGAGTGATAGGTTGAAGAGCAACGTCACACCTCAGAATAGTGTTGAACTGACAGTTGATCACACAGATTACCAGGAGATGAGGAAGGCGTCTGTTCTCACCCACGAGGAAAGTGACCTTTACTGGAGGAGACACATAGAGGTCACAGTAGTGGTGGACAATGACCCCTCTGCCATAGAGATGAAGGTCACATATATATTTCACTTTCTTCAGCCAGTAATAAGTTTTCAGTTTTATCAAAAAGGTGACGCAAAAATAAAATAGATACTTCATAATTGGCAAAAATTTCCCTACATCGGTTTGACCACTATAGAACGAAAACTACCAGCGAATTTAGGGGGGACGCCTTTTCCTCAGGGATAAGACCCCCTGCCGACCCAAAGGGTCTTTGGTGATGGACCCTAAAAGTTTTCTAAAGGCGCCTTCGGCGCCAATATATACTAATTTTGAGGGGGTAGCGCGTCGAAAAAACGCGATTTTTTTAATCAAAGTTTTCCAAATAGTGCCTAAAAACGCCTCTTTTGGCCTGTTTTTTCAAAACTTTGCCTGCGGCGCAGAAAATTTGGCCAAAACAAGGACAAAACAGTGCTTGTGAGAGTTCGAAAATCAATTTGGTCGAACTAAAAAAAAGTTTTTTGAAAATCCGCCCCCCCCCCTTTACCTCGAAAAAATCCTAGATCCGCCACTGCCTGCATGTATCAATCGATAATCTTTACAGCAGAGGTAGTTAAGTACTATTGCCGATTTTTTCTGTTGAGCTTTTCTGTTTTCGAATGACTTGACCATTGAGTCCTTTGCAGGATGTTAGTGGCGATGGCGGCCTCGGAGGAGACGGAACAAGAGGAGCGGGCGCTTCTAAGAAACGAGACCCAGTCACAGATAGAGATTCCATCACTTCCGACTACGACCCCTCCGAGGAGTGTGGGAGGGGATGTAAGAAGACATGCCAGATTCTCGGCTACATTTCTCTAGCTGTCATTCTTGTAGTCGCAGTTTCTTGCTATTTGGCTTTTAAGGATTAGTCATCCATCGGCTCATTGCCTCTCGTATGTGTATATAGTTAGCTACAGATTTCTTGGACAACGCCTCAAAAGTTTTCAGCTATCTTTTGACCTGCATGTTTCTTAAAATTGAAAAAAGCGAACGTAAATTTTTACAGAAAAAGGTCTAGAAACTTGATGAGACGGCTCAATTGAGTTCAAAAGTTTAAAATGTTGTTCAATGTTTTTTTTTGCAATCTAATCAACCACTCAAGGGTTTTTCAATGAAATAATTGCAATGCATTTTCCAATATTATTTTTTTAGGTAGATTCAATGGGCTGAAAAAATTTTTGTGGGCTATTCTCACGAGAGAAGCACTCAATGCTCAAATGACCGAAAAGTAAATAGGAAAGAAATAAAGAAAGGAAGAAGGAAAGAAAGAAAGAAAGAAAGAAACAAACAAAAGAAATAATTTAATTCTCCTGAAAAAATTTGAATCAAATTGTACATAAAGCAACTAACTTTCCTGTTTTTCCCATTTTTCATTTCGTCTTTTAACCATAAATAATCGGGAAGAATTTTCTGCTTAATTATTTTCCGCGTAAAAATATTCTTTTAATCTCAAAAATACCTTGAAAACTTATACCAAGGCTTTTTAATTCTCAAACTATTAAAATCACCGAATTATTTGTCGCGTGGTTTGTGTTTTTTGAGGTTGTAATAGGTTTTAGAGCAGATTTCTCAGCTCTGTGCCTGAAAACCATTGTTGATTTTTTAATAGACGGAAATAAATCAACAATCTTTAATAATCTTTTCACTTTTTCTTATTATAATCTATCAGAAAAGCGCTTGAAAAGGCTTTTAATAGCAATGATTATAACAGAAAAGATAGGACATAGATTATAGAACTAAAACCTCCGTCTATTCAGAAAACTTCCGTCTATCAGAAAACTTCCGTCTATCGATTTCTGTGAAAAACCTGCTTGTAAACCAAAACGAAGCTCAACTCCAAAAAATACATTAACTAAATGCAAAAGGTCAAACAACGCCGATTAATGCAATTATTTTATTTTAAAGCCAGAATTCACGAGAGGCAAACCAAAGTCGAATAATAAGTTGATAATTTCAAATAATTTTATTGTAAATTCTCAATTTGAATTTGAAGAAGTACCCCTATGTTTTAGGATTCTGCCAGTAGTAAAATTCCCAGCTTTATTTTCATCAGATGGATTTATGTTTCATTAAATTGTCCTATTTTTCTAACTTCCCTCAACCCTGTCTTAGAATAAACATCTATCATCAAGTTTTTACCGCTCTCCCGAAGTTACTGGCGCTAAGGTTTAGTTTCAAAAAAAGGAAGCCAGCAAATTGCTTCGGAAAATTTTGGAAAACTTTGTCAAATAATTAATTACCCGGCTGCGCCACCGTTGAAAAAATGGTGGCCACTTATGAGCAGAATGGTCTAAGAGCAGAAAAACAAACTAATATTGAATTAGACAAGCGACTCGATAAAACAAGTAATAGAATTGCCCAAATTCAATTTAGAAGAATAATTTTGGATAACATGCTGAGTTATGACCGAAGCGTATAACTCATAGAGTAATTTCGGATAGGGTACACCGTCTGCTCGTCACGCTATCTTATTTTCGGCCGGATAGATTCGTGCAACTTCTTAGTCTAATACCGGTCCTAATCTTACTCTTATACTATCTAGTCTCAGGTTGTTTAACTAGTCTCTGCTAGGCTCAATAGATCTAGGGTATACTGGTTTATTGCGGCTGCTGAAGTACTCGGGAGAGTTCAACTAACTTCTAAGTTAAATTCAAATCTCTCTGGTGCTGAAATTACAAGTAATTTCAGCACTTACAAATAAGTGGATTGTTAGTCAGATGGATCATGATTGGTTAATATTAAATACTTTACATTGGTAAAATATCTAATTTATCCAATCATAAAATGTAGTTTAGATCAGGTTCCACCCATCCGGGTTTTACAGAGTTTTTTAGAATAGTCTTTCTGTAATTCAAAGGATGGATGATGGACGTTGGTGTTAGGCGAAAATCATATTTCTTCTGGGTTCTCTTGTTAGAGAAGTTCCAGGTTCGATCGTTGTGTCATCTCATGACAACGACTGGGTTTTCGCAACAAACTCAAATCTGATTTCAGAATGGTTGGCTATGTCAGGTTTTTCTGTTTCATTGATGAGAACTTCTTTGTGTTTTGATCTTGTCTGGGAATGGCGTGGAGATTGTGCGTGGAGGGGATGCCTGGTTACTCGGATCTGTACGTATACTTGAACATCGAGGTGGTCATTGGTCTAGTTCAATGAAGTCCTTTTCTGTGAAGTCGAGTCGTACTCTAAATCCTTTGAGTTGTGATTGTGGGCGGCATATTGATTGTGGTTGGCCATTCTTTTTCGAGTGTAGTGGGTTCATTTTGTCTTTGGATGTTCGTCTTTGGTGTTGTATGCTGATCTATATATTGCATAATATAATTTAAATTTTATAAAACTTTTATTAGTTTAATGTTTTTTAATTATGATTTTGGTTAGTTGTTTTCACAAAAGCTTTTTGTTTTAGTTCAGTTATTTTGAAGAGTTACTCACCCTTGAGTAGCTCTTATTAAAAATAGGAGTGTGGTCACAAAGCGTGGATGTAGCGCGGTGGGATAGGCCGGCTATAGAGCATGCTCAGGACGTCCTTCCTGGTGGGTTAGGCCAGGAGTGGGAGTATGATTGCATGCGGTTTTTGTGAGAGGTCCTGTTATGTGACAACGTTTTATGTTGGGTTTGTTGTGGTTTTTCTTATGTCTCGTTGGTTGTGTCCTTTTTTCAAAAATCAATTTGTTTGTGGTATGGGTTTGTCTTTTGACTTTTTTGTGTTTTATTATTTCTTTTTTAGACTTTATAGTAGTCTTCAAAAGAATAAATTATCCAGTTTTAAACTGGGTTAATCCGGTTTGGGTACCGTTGGTTTCCTTTTCTTAGTCATGCTGTTATTCTATGATTTGTGGTGTTTAGTAAGCTGCGTTGGTTAGTGTTGTTTAGTGTATAATTCCTTTCCAACCGGGTTAAAGGAAAGTTTGAAACGTGTTATCTTGTGTTAGAGTTATCGAGTGTGAAAGCTTGAAACTGAAATTCATTATTTTAAACAATTCTTCGTGGGCGAGCTGTGCGAGTGTGGATAGAATGTTTGTGCGAATGAATGGAAGTATCAAAAGGTTAGTACTGCATTTTCGTTTTATCAATTTATTACATAGAATTTTTAATTTTACTGCTAGTTGTTGGGGAAAATTAAGTTACAAATTTTCATCATTTTTAGATTTACTGCTTGTGGGGGGAAAATTTATAAATTAAATTACTGCATTGGTATTATATTTATTTAATTTTTGGTGCAAAAATTTAATAGGGTTTTAAACAGTTTTGAAGAAGTTTGCTATTTTTTATTTTTCTTTTGTGAATTTTTCAGATGATCGTTGGATGAATCGTTGAATTCTAAAGAAAACATGGATAAAGAATGGTGAGTTTCTAATATTTTAATTAGTTAGTAATATATATAATTCATACTTACCTGTTAGTCGTCGGGGAAGAAACCGTGGGGGAAGATGTCGTGGATGAGATCTGAAGTTGTTAGTAATTTAGCTAAAATGCGGATGATATTTTTAGTTTGAAGTAGTGGCCAAAGCAATTGAAGTGCTTTAATGGTGGTTAGTTCTTCAGTGCCAACTGCAAATTCATAAGGTGTGTTTTGGAATAGATTATATAATTTGTGATTGAATTTAGTGTTATGGATGAATTCTAAAATGGGGATTTCTATAGGTTGTACAAACTCGTGTGGGATAAGGAAGAGTCGGGATTCTTCTGCGTTGAAGGTCTTGGTGATGGGACAAAAAATATACATTTGGGTTATGGGATCATAATTTCGAAGAATACCATGAAGGTTAGTATCTTTAATGCAATATGTGAAGTTAAGAAAGAATGGTGAGGTGTATTTGGAATTGATGAATTGAAAACGATGGTGTGGTTGTCTGGAGGGAGTGTGTAGGTCAAAGTGATTTTGGATGAAATGATAATAAGTATATGTGTGTGTTTGTTTAGTGCGCAACATAATATCGTGTGAGCAGTGCAAATCTCTTTCATGTGGTGCAAGGAAATGAAAGGTTAGTGAAAATATTTGGAAGCGTTCTTTAAAACTTTCGTAGGCTTGTGTGTCTGTTAGTGCTTCTGAAATAATGTGGTCAAACTTGCGATCGAAGATATTTAGTGTAAATACATATGGTGTTTTAATGAAAAATTTCTCGGTGATTTGTGGGTTAGCGAAGCGATCGTCGTCTAAGAATTGATCTTGGTTAGTTCTGATGATGTTATGATCGTAATATTCTAGTGTATATTCATTATCTCGGGGTGCAGTGTGTGTTTTTAGTGATTTTTTATATCCAATGTAAGTAAATTGTCTAGGTGTTAGTGGTGTAGTGAGTCGATATAGCATGTCCTTATTTCGTTCTATATCGATGTGAGTGTTAGATAAAGGTAAGCAAAGGGGATTAGTAAAATGATAATATGAGGTCCAAGGAAGGGTAGGCATTAAAACGTGTTCGTCTACAAAGTTACGTGTCTCGTTAGTGTCGTGAGGGGTGTTTAAGGTGTATTGTGGAAATGAGGGTAAGATGATAGCAAAAAATTCTTTTGTGTTAGTGTGTTTTGGATGGTTGATATATTCACGGGCTGTTCCTGGTTTCGCTGGGAAAGGATGGTTGGGGAACTTTCTTTTAAAAGTGCGGTAAGCTCTATTAGTGCTGAGTGAAGATTCAGTAGATGTGGATGATGGTGCTAATGATTCAGTATAAATTGAAGAGGGTGTAGGGGTAGGAGGGTTGGATGAATCTATTGGCTAATTTTGAACTAGAATCGCTGCGTGTTTGTCAGCATGTTATTTTGAAAAATGAAAGTGTAAAATGTTTCAAAGGTGCAAAGATTATTAAATGTAGAATTAAAGTTGTTTTTGAAATTCAACTTTCTTTAATATTTTAGATTGTGGGATGAATAATTTATAATTTTTACGTGGTTGATTTCTAAGTCGTGAAGACTCTCTA